TTTGTAGTTTTAGTAGAGACAGGGTTTCACCATATTGGCCAGGCTGGTGTCGAACTCCTCCTGGCCTCAGGTGATCCACCTGCCTCAGTCTCCCAAAGTGCTGGGATTACAGGCATGAGCCACCGTGCCAGGCCCCAGATGCGGACTTCTTACGAGAATCGAATACCTGATGATCTGTCACTGTCTCCCATCGCCCTCGGATGGAACCATTTAATTGCAGGAAAATAAGCTCAGGGCTCCCACTGATTCTGCATTATGGTGATCGTATAATTATTTCATTATATGTTACAATACAATAATAATAGAAATAAAGTACATAATACATGTAACGTGCTTGAATCATCTCAAAGCCACGGCCCCAACCACGGCCTCTGGCAGTGGAGGCTGGAGTCCACATCGCGCTCTGTGCTAGGTGCAGGAATGGAGATGAGTGGGTGTCCTGCTCATTTCCTTGAGGAGGAACCTGAGGCTCAGGATAGAGATGTACCTGGGTGACACGGCTCCTAAGTGGCAGAGTCCAGATTCAATCCCAGGGCTGCAGCCCCAGAAGCCTGTGCATTTAACCATGGTTCTGAACTATCCAGCCCAAAGAAGACAGTTTTAAAGGATTACATTTAATGGTTGGAAATCAACAAGCATAGTCACCCAGAACCATTTTTGAAAAACCCAGAGAAGGCCTTATGTTTTCCTGAAGCGGCCAGGGAAGGATTCTGCCTTTTCAAAAGAGAAGACAGGGAGGAGAGATACCAGCTCTCTGGGTTGGGCAGGTCTCCAAGCAGGCAGAGCCACAGCCTCCCGACAATCTTGCTTCTAGCGTATTTCTTCCAGAAGCCACATTTCCACAGGTGGGCAGCTCTAACTGGGAGAAAATCTTCCTGAGATTTAGCCAAATCAGCTTTCTTTTTTTTTTTGAGGTGGAGTCTCTGCTGCCTAGGCTGGAGTATAGTGGCGCGGTCTTGACTCACTGCAACCTCTGTCTCCTGGGTTCAAGTGATTCTCCTGCCTCAGCCTCCTGAGTTGCTGGGATTTCAGGCGTGCACCACCACGCCCAGCTAATTTTTGTATTTTTAGTAGCAATGGGGTTTCACCATGCTGGCCAGACTGGTCTCAAACTCCTGACCTAGAGTGATCCGCCCACCTCGGCCTCCCAAAGTGCTGGTTATTACAGGTGTGAGCCACCGTGCCCAGCCCCAATTAGCTTCCTAGGAGCTTCCACTTTCTGGGTCCGTTTCTGCCCCTTGGAGGTAGTGACCATCTCCCTCTAAACTTGGATATTTCTCTTATTCAGACTACACAACTGTAGTTATTTCAGGCATTCTCCCTGACTCAGGAAATTATAAGTTTGGCCTGGCTTTGGACATGATTCAGTTGGTTGGAGTCCCACACAAAGACTGTTTGTTTGATCAAAGAGGAAGGACACTATCACCTCCTTAGATCTGGAGCTTATACTTCTGTTGACGCAACCTAGAATCATACTGTGTAGCAGCCATATCCCACTTGGAGTGCATATTGGGCTTGTCAGCTAAAATCTCCGTGTTTCTCTTCTGTATGAGCTGCTGTTAATCCAAGTTTCTTCTATTCTGAGAGTCCTTGTCTGAAGCTAAGAGTTTCCAGTTTTTCATGCTCTCTAGTAAGTCTACTTCAGGCTAAAAGGCTATCATTTTTTCTTTGAGTACTGCTTTGGATTCATTCCACAAGTTGTTACACAATGTTATTCACCGCCCAGTTTAGAATTTTCCTTTTGGTTTCCATTTTAAGACTTACTTAATTATGTGCTTTTTAAATTTTTGAGACAGATGGAATTTTTAAAGTTATCTTTTTATTGTTGATTTCTAAATTTGATCATTATGGTTGTTGTGGTCAATATATGTGGTTTCTATAATATCAGTGGTGGAGAATTTGCTGAGATCTTTACAGGATTTTCTGGCCGTTTTTTTCCTCTTGTGTTTGAAAAGGATGTATATTTTCTGTTGGGTATAAGGTTCTAGAAATGTATCTATTTGATCAAGTTAGCTATTATATTATCTGTATTTGTTATGTCATTATGTGTTTTTTTCCACTGTAATACAATTACAATTCACCATAATAGAGGATTTGTTAATTTCTCCTTTTGAGTCTGTCAGTTTTTTGCTTTATTTTTGAAGCTATGTTGTTAAGTGCATAGCCATATGAATAGAATAAGGGTTCAGGACTTTTATACCTTTTTGGTGAATTGTTCCATTTTTTTGAGATAGGGTCTCACTCTGTTGCCCAGGCTGGAGTTTTGTGATGTGATCATGGCTCACTGCAGCCTCAGCCTCCCCAGGCACAGGTGTTCCTCCCATCTCAGCTTCCCGAGTAGCTGGGACTACAGATGTGCACTACCATGCCCCGCTAAAAGTTTTGTATTTTTGGAAGAGACGGGGTTTTGTTATGTTTCCCGGGCCAATCTCAAACTCCTAGGTTTAAGCAGTCCGCCCGCCTCAGCCTCCCAAAGTGCTGGGATGACAGGAGTGAGCCACTGCGGCTGGCTGAATTGCTCCTTTAATCAGCCAACTTCCAGCCTGGGCAACATAGTGAGACCCCATCTCTACCAAAAAATAAAAATTAGCTGAGTGTGGTGGCGTGTGCCTGTAGTTCCAGCTACTCGGGAGACTGAGGTGGGAGAATCACTTGAGCCCAGGAATTCAAGGCTGCAGGGAGCTATGATTGCTCCACTGCACTCCAGTCTAGGTGACACAGTGAGACATTCTCAAAACAACAAAAACAAAGAAGCCATCCACCTTCTCGCTTCTAATACTTACTCAGGACATCATTGTCATGAATTCTATTTTATGCAATGTCAGTACTCCTGTACTCATGAGCCAGATGAGTTTAAAAACAACAGCTGCAGCAAAGCTTGCGGTGACGTCTCTGCTCTGTAACTATAATCTTGGGCAAGTAATTTTCTTGGTTCGGCTTCAGTTTCTTCATCCATAAAATAGGAATATGACCCTGTCCTGCCTTTCCTTCTTTTTTTTTTTTTTTCTTGGGCGGGGGGTGGGTTATAGGCACAGGATGGGGCCATGGCAGGCCAGGGTGGTCTTGGGAAATGCAATATTTGGGCAGGAAATGCCTGTCCTCAAATAGGTCCATGAGGATGGAACCCTAGCCAGGGACCACGCCCTCCTCCTTGCAGCACTTCCCTTCCACCCTTCTGTATTATTTAAAGGGACCACACTCTCCCTTCCCAACACTACCCCCTTACCAGTCCCAGCAATTCGGGAGGCTGAGGCAGGAGGATCACTTGAGCCCAGGAGGTCGCAGCTGCAGTGAGCTATGATGGTGCCATTGTACTCCAGCCTGGGCAGCAGAGAAAAAAAAAAATCTCAAAAAAAAAAAAAAAAAAAAAAAAAATCAGGATAACACACGTAAAAATATAAATTTCTAACTTCTTTTGAAAAATCAAAAGATTTAGCAACATGCAAGTCTTCATTTTCATGTGGCAAAAAAGTAGCTGTCCTTTATCACAGGGGGCTGTGTTTTCTACTTGTCCCATCTCTACTCCTTGAGGTCACGTGACTGTGTCCCTGTAGGTATCTGAGTCTACTGCAGAAGAGGTGGCTCAGTGGCCACAGGGGAGGTGGCTGTGGGCTGCGGGCCAGAGGCAGAGAAGTAGAGAGTTGGTGGCCTCTGGAGAGGCCTGGGGACTGAGGTATCATCGGGAGTGGATTAAGGAGCCATTGGGATCCCACCTACCCTGAGGGTTAGTGATTCTGAGATCTTTGCTGTCCACCCAACAGCCTAGATGGCAGCCTCTGCCCTCTCCCTTCCTTCTTGTTCTTGTCTGTTTTCTTTTTTTCTTCTTTTCTTTCTTTTTTCTTTTTTTTTTTTTGAGATGGAGTCTTGCTCTGTTGCTCAGGCTGGAGTGCAGTGGCACGATCTCGGCTCACTGCAACTTCTGTTCAAGTGATTCTTCTCCTGCTTCAGCCTCTTGTCTGTTTTCTTTGCCTTTTTTTTTTTTTTTGAGACAGAGTCTCGCTCTGTCATCCAGGCTGGAGTGCAGTGGCACGATCTCAGTTCACTGTAACCTCTGCCTCCTAGGTTCAACCAATTCTCCTGCTTCAGCCTCCTGAGTAGCTGGGATTACAGGCACGCGCCACCACACCTGGCTAATTTTTGTATCTTTAGTAGAGACAAGGTTTCACCATGTTGGTCAGGCTGGTCTCAAACTCCTGACCTCGTGATCCACCCGCCTCAGCCTCCCAAAGTGCTGGGATTACAGGCGTGAGCCACCACGCCTAGCTTTCTTTGCCTTTTTATCACAGCATACGTGCAGACATGCACACAGACATGTGTAAACCTTCATCCATTTTCACAAAATTAGCACATGCATATGACCTAATCAAGTAGCAATGCGTGACAAGCCTCCCAGGTTTCCTCCTGCCACTGCCAGGTCACAGCCCTGTCCTCCAAGGCCACTGTCCTGACTGCCAACTCCAAGATCAGTTTATCTCCTTTATCTAAACAGAACCAGGCAGTATTGCTATTTTGAGCCCGGCTTCCTTCGCTCAGCTTGTGCCTGTGACGTCCTGCGTGTGCTGTCGTGGCAGCTGTCATTTGCTCAAGGTCTCAAAGAGTTTTCTTGGTGCTCAGAGATGAGCCTTTGCCAACCACTCCACCAACACTATCCCAGGTCTCTCCCACCCAGCCACGGCCTCTTCACCGCCTTGCAGCCAGCCATGAAGCAAGTGATCTTATTCTCATTTCACAGATGAGGAGACTGAGGGTCTGAGTAGACCCCAGCCCACCACAGTCTCCCACCCATTCAGGTTGGAGCCTGCACTCAGGCCCAGAGTTATGCTTCTGTGTCTTAGATGCTCGGGGGTCCCTGCCCACAAGGGTAGCCCCCATGTCTGTGTGTCCTCACCCATCCAGGAAAGGTATGGGGTGAGACAATAGGAAGAGCTCCATGGGGAGAACCCCACCCACTGCCTTCCATACACCAGTCTGCAAACAGAAAATGAACAGGAAGCTCTTACCTGTGCCCATGTGTTATCCTGGCTTTGGGTTTGCCCAGGGGGCAAAGTCCTGGTCATTGTTGAGACAAGTTCACTGCTGCTGAGGGCCGAGCAAATGGTGACAAAGGCCAGATTCTAAATTCCTCCTGGTTACTTCCTGCTCCGTCACGGTCACCTTGGGCAACTTCTGAACCCCGCTCAGCCTCATTCCTCCCTCTGTGCTTGCAGGGAGGGTGTTGGACTGTATCTTCCACAGACTGTGCTGTGGACTCCAGAGCCAAAGGCCTGGGTTCAAATCCCGGCCCACTCACTAGCTGTGCATCCTTAGGCAGGTTCCTCACCCTCTCTGGGCCTCGGCTTCTCTATCTCTGCAGTGGAGATGATATTAATTGCATCTGCAATGCCCCTTGGATTGGGTTCATGGTTGATGAGTGAGGCTCAAGGGCTTCTTTTTTTTTAGAGATACGGCCTCACTCTGTTGCCTAGGCTGGCTGGAGTGCAGTAGCATGATCACAGTTCACCGCAGCTGTGACCTCTTGGGCTCAAGCCATCCGCCTACCTCATCTCCCTTAATAGCTGAGACTACAGGCGTGTGCCACCATGCCTGGCATTTTTTTTTGTATTTTTGGTAGAGACAGGGGTTTTGCCATGTTACCCAGGCTGGTCTCGAACTCCTGGACTCAAGTGATCTACCTGCCTCAGCCTCCTAAATTGCTCAGATTACAGGTAGGAGCCACCGCGCACAGCATTCAAGTGCCTTTTTGTTAGTGAGACTGGTACAACCAACGCCAAGGCTGGTGAGCAAAGTTGCACCCAGTTGGAGAGGGGTGAAACCAAGGGCAGAAGGGCCCAGGGCATGGCCTCTCATGGCTGAAGGAAGTGGGGACACATGGCCCGTCGCAGTGACCTCTGCAGACCTCATGAAGGAGGCCAGCTGGGAGCCATAGCTGTCACTAAGACAGTCGAAATCTCATCAGCACCCTGGCGCCAGAGGCCATCGTCCGCTGCTCAGGACAATGAGTGATAGTTGATAACCAGCTCTCCAGAGGTCAGGGCCCTGAGGTGGCTGAGATCTGTGCCTGCATTAGGACATTTAAGGGGACTCCAAGCCAGGATTTGCCATCGTTTGCCCAGCAGGGAGAGGTGGAAAATTGGGGATGACCAGCCAGGCCTCCCTGCACACGGCCAGGGGAATTCATCCGGTTGTTCTTCCATTTAGCAAATATTCATGGAATGCCTGCTGTGTGCCAGGCACGCTAGGCTCTGGGGAGATGGCTGTGAGTGGGACCAACACTGGCCTTGTGCGAGCTGGCCTTGCAGTGGGGGATATGAACACCAAACACATAACGCCTGAGTGTGCAACATGCCACAGAGAATGCAGAGAAATAAAGCAAGATAACGGGTTGCAGAAAGATGGAGGCCAGGCTGGCTGCTGCTCCTGAGCAGGTGGCTTCTGGACACAGTGTCCTCAGGCCCTGTCTCCTCCCTTGGGCCTCAGGAATCTTCTGAAGACAGGCCTGGGTTCCAGGCTCCCGGATGGAGTTGCCTGTTGACTGTGTGGACCCAAAGTGTCCGCAGTGCGCCGGAGCGCGTGGTCTTCCCCAGCAAATCTGCTTCTCTTCTCGGCTCTCCATCGTGGGAAGGGTCCCTGGGGTCCTCCCCACCACCCCAGCCCGAGGCCACTTTCCCTCTCTCCCTGCTCTCTCCACCCTGCTTTCCCACCACCAAGTCCCTGCTGCCTCCCCCTCCCAGACAGGCTCAAACCTGCCCCCTCTTTGCCAGCGCTCATCTCAGCCCTCTCCTCTCCTGCTTAATAGCCTTCACTGGCTCCCCACTGCCCTAGAGACAGAGTTTGAGTCTACTGCCATGGCCTGGCAGACGGTGTTGTCCTTGACCTGCCAACCTTCCAGCTGCCATGCCAGCCACTCCTTCTCCCCCTTGCTCCAGCCAAGAACCCGGCTCGTAGGGTGGGAAGTGGGCCATGTCCTCCCTCCTGCCTACCTATTCACTGGGTCTTTCCTCATTCCCTCCCATACCCCGCCCTCTCATAAGAACCCTCAGAATCTGCCAGGCGCAGTGGCTCACACCTGTAATCCCAGCACTTTGGGAGGCTGAGGCAGGTGGATCACCTGAGGTCAGGAGTTCAAGACCAGCCTGGCCAACATGGCAAAACCCTGTCTCTACTAAAATTACAAAAATATTAGCTGGGCGTGGTCGTGGGCACCTGTAGTCCCAGCTACTCGGGAGGCTGAGACAGAAGAACTGCTTGAACCTGGGAGACAGAGGTTGCAGTGAACTGAGATCGCACCATGGCACCCAGCCTGGACTGCAGAGTGAGACTCTGTCTCAAAAAAACCAAACCAAAACAAAAAAAAACCCTTCAGAATCTATAAAATGGGTTTAATAATTACACTTATAGGGAGAGCTTAAAGCACCTAGGCTAGTGTCTGGCACCAAGGAAACACTGTATACCTGTTAAAATAAGAATAAAATAAAATACACATAATCACGTATTGAGTGCCTGCTGTAGGCAGGATGCCGGAGCCCCTCCCCGGGAGAACTCTTGGGCATCCCCGCTAAAGAAACCTGACCCCCTAGGACAAGGGAGGGTCTTCCCTGAGGGCCTGCTAACAGCCTCCTCTACTAATCTGAAGTCCTACAGCTTGCCCAGCAGGCTGGCCTCTCACACGGGCTCCCCCCACAGGCCGCCATCTTGGAAAAGGCCAGTGGCTCTGGAATCATTCTTGACTCCTATTAGCTCTCCTGTTCTCTCTCCCACCCCACAGCATCCATCCCGTCAGCAAATCCTGTGGGCTCTATCTTCAATACAGCTCTAGAATTCAGCCCCTTCTCAACCTCCCCATCCCCGCAGCCTGGTGTAAGCCCCGGCACCTCTCTCTGGGGCCAGAGTGGCAACCTCCTCATTGGTACCCACTTCTACCCGTGCCCCCACCACCCAGGCAAGAGAGGTCATTTTTAGTCTCACCATGTCACTTCTTTGCTCAAAACGCTCCAGTAACTTCTTCCTTGCTCAAATATTTATTAAAAGAAGAAAGGAATGAATGAATGAATGAATGAATGGCCTGTTTGCATCTATAATAGCCAGCCTACAGGAAGTGCTTGGAAAACACCCACAGCAAGAATAAATGAGACGATGCCTGGACATGGCAGCTCATGCCTGTAGCACGTTGGAAGGCCAAGGCAGGAGGTTTGCTTGAGGCCAGGAGTTTGAGGCTGCAGTGAGCTGTGATTGTGCCACAGCACTCCAGCCTGGGCCATAGAAAGAGATCCCATCTCTACAAAAATTTAAAAATTATCCGAACATGGTGGCATGTGCCTGTAGTCCCAGCTTCTTGGGAGGCTAAGACGGGAGGATCCCTTGAGCCCAGGAGTGAGCCTTGTCCTGCAGTGAGCCTTGATGGTGCTACTGTATTCTAGCCACAGAGCGAGACCCTGTCTCTAAAACAAAAAAAGAGAAGGAGAATAAATGAGGTATTTGAGCTAGTGGGTGAGGACGGGTGAACCACAGCAAGCCCACAGGGAGGCTGGTGGATGCTGTTTTCGGAGGGTGCTGATTTGTGTTCCTGGTGGCTACAGAGCCAGTCTGTTGCCTCCCCTCCCTCCCACTGGCTGGGCTGGGGATGCAGCAAACCAGGCAGAGCCCAGGCCATTCTGGAACCCTGGCCTGGCCTGCCTTACCATCCCCGTGGGGCCACTGACGTGGCTGCTGGTTCTGGAAACCTCAGTTCTGGGAAGGTTGCTGTCCCAGGAAGACGTGCATGCCTAGCTTCCTGCCAGCCCAGCCCAGCCCAGCCGTCCCAGAAGCCAGAGGAAGCTCTGAGCTGGTTTCTTATAAGTAGCATGACTAACTGATTGCGCCACAGGAGGTGAGGTTTCAGGCCAGTTTCTATCGTGGAGTTTCAGGGGTCAGCGGCTCCAGAGCCCCCAGCCCCCACCTGAAGCCCCTGCTGTCCCTGGATTCCTCTCCACATGCCGCCTGTCACAGAGCTGCTTGCATCCTGTCTGCAGAACCAGCCCCTCCTCCAAGCCAGGTTTTCTGCCCAGAGGGAAGAAGAGCAGAAGGCCTGTACCACCCCCTGCGCGCCCCCACTCCTCTGCCCGTCCCCCCCTCCACCCGCCATGGGTTTGGAAAGAGCCTTGCTGGGTTGCTTCCAGGCTGCTGCTGGCTTCTGACATTTCAAGGCTTAATCACTTAATCTCCCCCGAGTTTTTTAAAAACGCGAGTTAAGAGTGTTCTCCTGCTGGCGGGCGTGTTTTCCCAGGTGCCTGCTTCTGCTCACTTCCTGGCTGGGGCCTTCACCGACTTTGCTACTTCCTAACTCTGTGACCTTGGCCTTGTCGCTTGCTCTCTCTGGGGCTCAGGCCAATGGGTCTCAGGCCAGTGGGGCTCCCCGGACAAAGTTCCAGGGTTTTGGGGACTGCATTTCAAGGGTCAGCAAGCACAGTCCTTAAACACATGGATTCTGGAGCGACAATGCCTGGGTTATGGCTCTGTGACCACCAGCAAGTGCTCTAGCCTTTTTGTGCCTCAGTCTTCTCATCTGTAAAATGGGAATGTTAATGGCACCTACCTCATAGGGTCTTTGGGAGAACCAAATTGATTAATATATTGTAAGTACTTAGAACAGTGTCAGGCACAAAATAAGCACTTCTTATACAGTTACTATGGACAAAAGCTTGGGACCTGGTTCATGTTTAAAAATGATTATTGAGGCCAGGCGCGGTGGCTCACACCTGTAATCACAGCACTTTGGGAGGCTGAGGCGGGCAGATCACGAAGTAAAAGATCAAGACCATCCTGGCCAACATGGTGAAACCTCGTCTCTACTAAAAATACAAAAATTAGCTGGGCGTGGTGGTGTGCTCCTGTCTGTAGTCCCAGCTACTCAGGGGAGCTGAGGCAGGACAATCGCTTGAACCCAGGAGGCGGAGGTTGCAGTGAACTAATATTGCACCACTGCACTCCAGACTGATGACAGAGTGAGACAAAAAAAAAAAAAAAAAAAAAAAAAAAAAAAATTGAATTTTTTTTTGCTGAATTTTTTTTTTTTTTTTTTGAGACAGAGCCTCGCTCTGTTGCCCAGGCTGGAGTGCAATGGTATGATCTCGACTCACTGCAACCTCTGCCTCCCGGGTTCAAGTGATTCTCCTTCTTCAGCCTCCCGAGTAGCTGGGATTACAGGCACCCACCATCATGCCCGGCTAATTTTTGTATTTTTGTAGAGACGGGATTTCACCATGTTGGTGAACTCCTCACCTCAGGTGATCCACCTGCCTCAGCCTCCCAAAGTGCTGGGATTACAGGTGTGAGCCACTGTGCCCAGCCTATTATTGCTGAATTTTAACCATTCATTCATTTAATATATGTTTATTGAACACAAACTATACCTATGTCAGGCACTGTTTTAGGCACTGGGGATAAAGCAGCGAGCAGAGCATGTACGCCTGCCCCCCTTTTGCCTTCCCCGTGAATAAAAGCTCCCTGAGCCCTCCCCAGAAGCCAAGTAGATATGTGTGCTATGCTTCCTGTACAGCCTGCAGAGCCATAAGCCAATTAAACCTCTTTTCTTTGTAATTGTAAATTACTCAGTCTCAGATATTTCTTTATAGCAATGCAAAAATGGACTAACACACTTGCCGTCTGTCTTCTTCTTATGGCATATTTTGATCTAAGCCAGACAGAGTGGCTCACGCCTGTAATCCCAGCACTTTGGGAGGCCAAGGCAGGTCAATCACTTGAGGTCGGGAGTTCAAGACTAGCGCAGCCAACATGGGGAAACCCTGTTTATACTAAAAATACAAAAAATTAGCTGGGTGTGGTGGCACACACCTGTAATCCCACCTACTCAAGAGGCTGAGGCACAAGAATTGCTTGAACCTGGGAGGCAGAGGTTGCAGTGAGCCGATATCACGCCACTGCACTCCAGCCTGGGGAACAGAGTGAAACTCCGTCTCAAAAAAAAAAAAAAAAAGAAATCTGGGGATGTTGAAAACATTTTTGCAGTCAAAGCTATCTATCTTTGCTATCTGCATCTTGAAATAAAATAAACATTCACACATGTAACCTCACTAATCTGATTAGAGATAGTGATAAGTACTATGACAGAAATAAACAGGGTGTTGTGATAAGAAGTCACAGGGAGGGCCGGCATTAGATGAGGGGGTTCAGAGAAGGCTTTTGAAGTGTTTCTGGTACAAACACTTGGAGAGGGGAGAGCTGGGAGTGCATCCCAGGGCTCAGAGGCCAATGGAGGATTGCAGAAGAGGGAGAGGGGATAGGAGGGAAATGTTAGGGGGGTAAGCAGAAACTAGTTTGTCAGGGGGCTTGGCTCTTTTCTTGATTTTCTTAAATTAAACTTTTTATTTTCAGATAACTAAAGATTTATACACAGTTGGAAGAAATCATAGAGAGGTCAGGCATGGTGGCTTACACCTGTAATCATAGCACTTTGGGAGGCCGAGGCGGGCGGATCACTTGAGGTCAGGAGTCTGATACCAGCCTGGCCAATGTGATGAAATCCCATCTCTACTAAAAATACAAAAATTAGCCAGGCATGGTGGCGCACCTGTAGTCCCAGCTACTGGGGAGGCTGAGGCAGGAGAATCACTTGAGCCCGGGAGGCGGAGGTTGCCGTGAGCCAAGATCGTGCCACTGCACCCCAGCCTGGGTGACAGAGTGAGACTCCATCTCAAAAAGAAAAAGAAAAAGAAATCGTAAAGAGACCCCCGCTTCTATGCTGTTCCCCCCAAGGGCAAGATTGTGGAAATCTGTAATACAGTATCACAGCTGGGATGTTGACACTGATACAATCGACCTTGTTCGGATTTCCCGATCTACTTGTACTAATTTTTGTATTTGCATACGCATGTGTGGTTTAGTGCTACACAATTTTATCACGGCATAGGTTTGTGTATGCAGCCAGGATCCCAGCATAGATTTGTGTATGCAGCCAGGATCCCGGCCTAGGTTTGTGTATGCAGCCAGGATCCCGGCATAGGTTTGTGTATGCAGCCAGGATCCCGACCTAGGTTTGTGTATGCAGCCAGGATCCCGGCATAGGTTTGTGTATGCAGCCAGGATCCAGCACAGTTCTATCATCACAAGGATGGCTCCTGTTCTCCTTTTATAGCCACATCCAACTCCCTTCTTGACCCACCCCCTTAGCCCCTGGCAACCACTGATGTGTTTTCCATTTCCATAGTTCTGTGATTTCAAGTCTTACATAAATGGAGTCAGGGGGTGTGTACTCTGGCAACTGGCTTTTTTCACTCTAGGGCTTGGATTTTATTCTAAGTCAGAGATGCTTCTCTGATGTGCTGTGAACCCCTTGGGGATCTGTGGCCCCTGTGGAGAAGCCCTTTAGGAGCCAGGGGGTGTTGGATGTGTGAGCTGGCCCTGGCCTCATTTCTGATTTTAAAATGGCTCTGGCTGTGATGTGGAGAAGAGGCAGGGTGAGCCTCATCTGCAGCAACTGCTAACTGCCCACATCCCCCCAGACTTCTCAAAACTTTGCCACTCCCCTGCTCAAAGAGCCTCAAAAGCTGCCCACTGCTTAGAGGACAGGCCTTTGACCTGAGGCTTTGGGCTTTGGGGATTCTGTGAACTCACTTGGGCTTTGGGGATTCTGTGAACCCTTAAAATGGAATGCAGAATCAAGTGTGTGCACATTGCCAGAAACAGGGTTTGGGGTTTGCATTAGGTGCTCAGATAGGTCAGTGACCCCCAAAACACTAGGGACTCTGACTTCTAGACAGATAGTGGTTAAGAACCAAAGCTTTGGAGGCCGAGTGCTGGATTTAAGACCCATGACTGTCACAGCTGTGCAACCTCAGACAAATCACTCCACCTTTCTGTGCCTTGGTTTCCTCATCCGAAAATGGAGAAAGAAATAGGACCTATTTCATAGAGTATTAAATGCATTTGTACATGTAAAAGGTGTAAAAGGAAACTTGGCATGTGGTAAACTCTGCGTGTGTGTTAAGTGAATGGTGAGGCTGCGCAGTATAGGAGGGCAGAGCTTTTTAGGTAAAGACTTTCTAGGCCTCCTGGGATTCTTAGGCCCTCTCTGTGTTGGTTGTTGTCGTACATGACAGCAGTATTCCTTCCAAAGGGATGTCAAGCTGTGGCTGCACACTGCAGTTAGAGCCGGTTCATTGGCAGCACTGTTCACTTCAACTATGTCCTTACTGATTTCTGCCTGCTGGATCTGTCGATTACCAAGAGAGGTGTTGAAGTCTCCAGCTTCCAATATTATCCAGTAATATTATTATTCAGACTAATCGCAGATTTCTCTATTTCTCCTTGCTGCTCTCAGTGTTTGCCTTACATATTTTGACCCTCTGTTGTTAGTTGCGTACACATTAAGGATTGTTATTTACATCTTGGAGAATTAACTCCTGAATCATTGTGTGGTGCCATTTTTTAAAATTTAGAAATCTTATTTTTTATTTTTTGAGACAGTGTCTTTCTCTGTTTCCCAGGCTGGAGTGCAGTGGCATGAACACAGCCCACGGCAGCCTTACCCTCCTGGGCTCAAGTGATCCTCCTGCCTCAGCCTTCCCAGTAGCTGGGGCTACAGGCATGTGCCACCTCTAATGACCTTTCTTTAATTTACAATAGTATTAGTTCGTTCTCACGCTGCTCTAAGGACATGCCCAAGACTGGGTAATTTATAAAGGAAAGAGGTTTGACTCACAGTTCTGAAAGGCTGGGGAGGCTTCAGGAAACTTGTAATCATGGTGGAAAGGGAAGCAAAGACATCCTTTTTCATTTGACGGCAGGAAGAAGAGACAAGAAAAGTGGGGGAAAGCCCTTTATAAAACCATCAGATCTCATGAGAACTCACTCACTATCACAAAAACAGCGTGGGAGAACTGCCCCCATAATCTAATCACCTCCCATGAGGTCCGTCCCCCAACATGTGGGGATTACAATTTATATTATAATTCAAGATGAGATTTGAGTGGGGACACAGAGCCAGACCATATCACATTATTATTCATTTGTGCCTTCTCTCTTATTTTTTTGATTTGCCTAGGTGTAGGGATTTATCAATTTCATTGATCTTTTCAAAGAACCAATTTTTGATTTCATTGATTTCCTCAATTAATTTTCTGTTTTTAATTTCATCGATGTATGCTCTAATTTTGTATTTTTTTTGCTTGTTTTAGACATATATTGCTTTTCTGTTTCTCGTACGCTAGATGGAAATAGATTATTGATTTTAGAACTTTCTAAGATATACATTCAATAATATACATTTCCCTCTAAGCACTTATTTTGCTACATCTCACAGATTTTTATAGGCTATATTTTCATTTTTATTTAGTTAAAAATATTTTTAATTTCTCTTGTGATTTCTTTGTGATTTTCATTTTTATTTAGTTAAAAATATTTTTAATTTCTCTTGTGATTTCTTCTTTGATCCATATGTTATTCAGAAATCTCCAAATACTTGGAAATTTTCTGGCTTTCTTCCTGCTAGTGACTTCTAATTTGAATCCACTGTGGCCTAAGCGCATACTTTGCATGATTTCTAAAGTCTTAAATCTCTTAAGGTTGTTTTATGTCCCAGAATGTGGTCTGTCTTGGTGATTCTTCCACATGAACTTGAGGAGAATGTGTATCCTGCTATTGTGAGATGTAACATTCTATAAATGGATATACCTCTGTTAATACGACCTCAGGTGACTCATTTTTTTTTTTTTTGAAGTTGCTGCTTCACCATTGGCGTTTGGAGATTTTGCAGATGATAAAATCCCCAGGACTTTTCTGCTGCTCCGTCAGATTTTCTTATCCTACACTTGCGGAACTGTTGTTTGAAATTGACAAGCAGGATGGCCAGCTCTGCCCCGCTCATTTCATTTCATCTTACTGGGTTCAGCCTGCAGTTTTAGGAGATGAGGTTGAAGGAACTGGTATACTGGAATCCACGGTGGGCTCAGAAGCAAACAAATGTGGGTTCTGATTCTAGCTCTGAGCTTTTACCAGCTGTGGGTCCTGGTGGATGGGTTATTTCACCTCTTTGGCCTCGGTTTCCTTAGCTAGACAGTTGGGCTAACAGCCTACCTTTCAGCATTCTTGTGTGGATTCGGTGAGGTAATACTTCTAAAGCACCTAGCAAAGCGTCAAGTACAAGGTAAGTGCTGGGCAAGCAGGGATTTTGTTTACACAAAGCCTTGACTCAACATAAGGAGGCTGTTTCCAGCCTCTGTTTAACTGAGACCTAAGAGAGAATGTTCCATCTGTGGCAGGGTATGGGCTGAAACTGCCTGGTGACGTGTCAGAGGTGGGGTGTTCGCAGGACATCCTTGTCCAGGTTGGCAGTTGAGCTCAGCAGGTGACCCCTGAGACCCCTCCCAACTCCAGCACTTCAGGAATCTCTTGATTTAGAATGGGAGCTTGTCATCTCCTCTTGCCACGTACTTGACCGCGATAATGTGGCGCTTATCTTTTTAATTCTTTTACTCACCTGCATCTTTGTTCTTTTTGCCTCTGATGTGCATGGAAGCCTCTTCTCCCACCACATCTGTGATTTCTCCTGAAATGTAGCACCCACGCATCCCTGAGAAGCTAGCTGCGGCCTGTGTGTGTGCACTTGGGCATGAGTAAGTGTGGGTGTGCCTTCCACAACAGAGTATCAGTCCTGACACCATGCTGGGATGTTTCAGTCAATCCTGACTGGGTTGTCGACTTCCCTGTTTCCCTTTGGAGGACTTTACCGTGGAAGTCTTCTACTGTGTGACCTTGGACACGCGTCTTGGCCTCTCTGTTTCTCTTTATTCGAAATTGAGGCTAAAGTGACACCTTTGCCATCTCTGCCACAGGATAATGTGGGCATCTGTGTAGTTGTGAGAGTAAAAGTTACTGGGACTTGCAGAGGAAATCAGTGTCGGGAACCCACCACCCCATTTCTACCCCTCTTTTACTTGAGACTTTGCTTTTGTAACTCTCAGCAAGGAAGACGAGTTCGGGCTTTGAGCAGATACGGAGCCTCCCCCTAGAGAGAGCTTTGCAGCCTCATGCTGAGCTGGTTAGGGGCCCCACGTCATGTCCAAAATGAATTTAATCAACAAACAGTTACTGAACACGTGCTATGTGCCAGGCGCCGTTGTAGGTACTGGGGACTCAGTGGTGAAAGGGACAGACCCTGGCTGTCAGGATGACAGACAATTTAAAAAGGGACAGTTGTCCCACATTGGCTTGTCCTTTGCACCCCCGGCACTTCGTGAGGAGTAGCGGCCAGTTCTTGTATAGACTGACCCTCGGCGGACATTTGTCTGACGTTTCCAGATGATTTATGCATCCTTGGCAGGAACCCAGGAAAAGAAATGCTGTGCTCTTCTCAGGCATTGTTTCAGGGAGATGATGACAGGAATTTGTCCCATTGCTGATGGTTAGTTTAGATCACCTGGTGAAGGTGGTGTCTGCCAGGTTTCTGTATTGTAGTGTTCATTGATACGTATTTTCACTCATTAGTTAATATACAAGTTTTGCAGGGAGTTACTTTGAGCCTGTCATAGTAAAATAGAGCTTTCCCTTCTTCCCTATTTATTAGAGATGAAGTCTGGCTGTGTTGCCCAGGCTGGAGTGCGGTGGTGCGATGATAGCTCTCTGCAGCCTCCAACTCCCAGGCTCAAGCCATCCTCCTGCCTCAGCCTCCCAAGAAGCTGGGATTACAGGCACACACCACTGCACCCAGCCTCCTCCATTTATTGATTTGTGTCAATACAGACTCCTGGACTTTAACTCTAAGGGTTACAAGTGGGTACCAAAATATTCATTTTGATGCTCAAATTGTGCCCATTTTGTCCAGGTCAAGCTAGCTGCTGAGTACTTCCTTACTGTCTGGCACAAGAATTCCAAGCCTATCTGGTACTTTTCCTTCTCCTGGAATCAGCCATTTCTCTAAGGAGCTCTGGTTCCTTTCAGTACAGAATAGTATTGAGAAGCCAAGACCTGGTCACCAGGAAGGCATGATAATCAAATGTGATGAACGATCTTGGATTGGATCCTGGATGTCTAAAGGGCATTATTGAGGCAATTAGCAAAACGTAAATGGGGGCAGTGGATGAGATAGCGGTGATGCATCACTGTAAATTTCCTGGTTTCAATGGTTGTATTGTGGTTATGCAGAGAATGTCCTTGTTTTTCTGACATGCACACTGAGGTATTGGGGTAATTTATTCATTATGGAGATACGTGAGTTGTGTGTATGTGTCTCATGCACAGATGTTTCTTAATGATGCGGTTATGTCCCCATAAACTCATCATAAGTTGAAAATATTATTAAGTCAGAAATGCACTTCATACTCCTAACCTACTGAACATCATAGCTTAACCTAGCTCGGATCACTTACATTAGCCTATGGGTGCTCCAAGTACTGCTTCTACTGAACACACATTGATTTTGCACCATCATAAATTAGGGGAAGAGAAGAAAAGCACGAGTGAGGGAGGAAGGGCCGGGCGCGGCGGCTCACGCCTGTAATCCCAGTGCTTTGGGAAACCAAGACGGGCAGATCGCTTGAACTCAGGAGTTCGAGACCAGCCTGGGCAATATAATGAGACCCCATCTCTACCAAAAATAGAAACACTTAGCCGGGCCTCGTGGCACACATCTGTGGGCCCAGCTACTCAGGAGGCTGAGGTGGGAGGATTGCTTGAGCCCAGGAGACAAATGTTGCAGGGGGTTGAGATTGTGCCACTACACTCCAGCTTGAGTGACACAGTAAGACTCCATCTCAAAAAAAAAAAAAAAGAAAGGAAAGAAGGGAAGTTCCCTCCAGGTAGAGGGGACAGAGAAAGGAAAGGCGTGGAGGTGGGACTGAGTTTGGTGTGTTTAAGAAGTGTAGGTGGCAGGCGTGGGATACATGGGCGCTGGGCCTAGGTGGAGAGGGAGGTGGAGCCCTGCTGGGGAGGGCCCTGAAGTGTGCCCAAGTCACTGGGAGAGCATCCAGCAGGGGCCTAGGGCTCCTGAGGTGGCCTTAAGTCCTTATGGTGCCCCAGACACGGCACACAGTACTTCAGAGGCAACGCCTCAGTTCCTGTTTGCTGCAAGCCTGTGAGGTTAGCCTTGGAACCAGTCCTGTGTCACAGAAACAGCCAGAGCGCCAAAAGAGAAATGCTTTTAATGGCAAAGAAGTACTCACTAGCGGAACAAAGCCTGGGAGCTGCTTTTTTGAACAAGACCCCAGGAGACAGACCCAAGCGGGAAGTGAAGGATGGGCGCTTGAAACGTTGCAGGGAATATAATCCAGTGCATGCTTTTTTTTTTTTTTTTTTTCCCATTTGCGACAGGGTCTCACTGTGTTGCCCAGCCTAGAGTGCAGTGGTGCGATCTTGGCTCACCACAACGTCTGCCTCCCAGGCTCAAGCGATTCTCCTATCTCAGCCTCCTGAGTAGCTGGGACTACAGGTGCGCACCACCACCACCCGGCTAATTTTTTTGTATTTTTGGTAGAGACGGGGTTTGTGAACTCCCAAAGTCCTGGGATTACAGATGTGAGCCACCACGCCCAGCCCTAGTACACACTTTTTGGAGGGGATTTGACGTTATGTACCAGGAGTGCTGGGGAAAAGTACACACTTGACTCCATGAGATTCTGCTTCTTTTTTCTTTTCCCTCCCCTCCCCTCCCCTCCCCTCCCTTTCCTTTCCTGTTTTTTTTTTTTGAGACGGAGTCTCACTCTGTCACCCATGTGCAATGGCATGGTCTCAGCTCACTGCAACCTCTGCCTCCTGGGTTCAAGTGATTCTTCCACCTCAGCCTCCCAAGTAGCTGGGACTACGGGTGTGTGCCACCACACCTGGCTAATTTTTGCATTTTTAGTAGAGACAGGGCTTCACTATGTTCACCAGGCTGGTCTCGAACTCTTGACCTCGTGATCTGCCTGCCTCGGCCTCCCAAACTTTCTTTTTTTCTTTTTTTTTAATGACAGGGTCTTGCTGGAGTGCAGTGGTGCAATCTTGGCTTACTGAAGCCTTGACATCCCAGGCTCAAACGATCTTCCCACCTCAACCTCCCAAGTAACTGGGATTACAGGCATGCACCACCATGCCTGGCTGATTTTGTTTAATTTTTATAGAGATGAGGTTTCACTCTGTTGCCCAGGCTGGTCTTGAATTCCTGGGCTCAAGCCATCCTCCCTCCTTGGCCTCCCAAAGTGCTGGGATTACAGGTGTGAGCCATCACACCCGGCCTCTGAACATTTTTTCCAATGATAATAGCTGGTGCTATGGTCTGAATGTGTTCCCCCAAATTCATATGTTGAAACTTCATTGCCATTGTAGTCATATTAAGAGATGGGGCCTTTGGAGAAGTGATTAAGTCATGAGGGCTCTGCGGTTGGTCATGAATGGGGTTAGTGCCCTTATGAAAGGCCTGAAGGAAGTGTGTTTACCCCTTCTGTCATATGAGGACACAGCAGCATGGCATTGTCTATAAGGAATGGGCTGTCACCAGATCCAGATCTCCTAGTGTCATGATCTTGGACTTCCCAGCCTCCAGAACTATGAATTAGAAAATTTATTTATTTATTATTTATCTATTTTGAGACTGAGTCTCACTCTTGTCGCCCAGACTGGAGTACAATGACGTGATCTCGGCTCACTGCAACCTCTGCCTACCCCAGTTCAAGCGATTCTCCTGCCTCAGCCTCCAGAGTAGCTGGAATTACAGGTGGCTGCCACCATACTCGGGTAGTTTTTGTATTTTTAGTAGAGATGGAGTTTCACCATGTTGGCCAGGCTGGTCTTGAACTCCTGACCTCAGGTGATCCTCCCACCTCGGCCCCCGAAAGTGCTGGAAATACAGGTGTGAGCCACTGTGTCTGTCCTGAATAATAAAATTTTTAAAACAATTTTTCAAAAATTCACCATGAGGTCTCACTATGTTCCCTAGGCTGGTCTCAAACCCCTGGACTCAAGTGATCCACCCCACCTTCCCGAGTAGCTGGGACTAGAGATACACACCATTGTACCCAATAGAGCAATACATTTCTGTTCTTTGTAAATTACCTGCTTTAAGGTATTTTTGTTATAGCAGCCTGTATGGACTAAGCTGACTGGTAACGTTACTTGAGACTTTACTGTGTTCCTGTCACTGTTGGAAGACTCTGTCTGTGTTAGCTCATTTAATCTCCACGACACCTCAATCAGATGGGGCTATTCTTAGTCCCACTTTATAGATAAGGAAACTGAGGCACTGAAGCACAACTTGCTCAAGGTTCACATCTAGTCAGTGACAGAGCAGGTATTTAAACCTCAGGAAATAATCAGAGAAACATACGTAGAGGGTTCTCCAAGGAAGGCCACATCCAGAAGCATCTCCCGGGACAGTTGTTGTGTGGCTCACCCTCTGGACTTTTTGGGTCTGGGTGTTGTTTCATGATTATAGAGAGAGTTCGGTGAACGTGGAGGACCTGTTGTCCACAGAGACACAAATGGCTAGGGCATGGCTGGGCGTGGTGGCTCAGGCCTGTAATCCCAGCATTTTGGAAGCCCAGGGGGGCAGATCATGAGGTCAGAAGTTCGAGATCAGCCTGGCCAACATGATGAAACCTCGTCTCTACAAAAAATACAAAAATTAGCCAAGTGTGGTGGTGGGCACATGTAATCCCAGCTACTCGGGAGGTTGAGGCAGGAGAATCCCTTGAACCCGGGAGGTGGAGGTTGCAGTGAGCTGAGATCGCACCACTGCACTCCAGCCTTGGAGACAGAGGGAGACTCTGTCTCGGAAAAACAAACAAACAAATGGCCAGGGCAGGGGAGGGTTGCGTGTTGAGTAAGATGAGCTCTGCTGGAAGCACAGGTCAGCACTAACCTGCTTGCGCTCTCTCTGCAGGTGCCTTGTCATCTCCCAATGGGGTGGCTTTGCTCTGGGCTCCTGTTCCCTGTGAGCTGCTTGGTCCTGCTGCAGGTGGCAAGCTCTGGTAAGTCACCACCTCTCAATCATTCATTTGTTGACTATTAATGGTGTGCTAGGGTCCTGCGGTATATCACCTGGCCTTATGGAGATTACACTGCAGTGGGAGGGGACAGCCAATGACAGGTGGCCCTGATTATCAGTAAATTCTAAAGATTGTTAGAAAGTGATGGGGGCCGGGTGTAGTGGCTCACACCTGTAATCCCAACACTTTGGGAGGCCAAGGCGGGAGGATCGCTTGAGCCCAGGAGTTCAAGGTCAGCCTGGGCAACATAGGGAGACCTTGTCTCTACAAATAATAAAAATATTAGCGAGATGTGGAGGTGCACGCCTGTAGCCCCAGCTACTCAGGAGGCTGAGGTGGGAGGATCCCTTGAACTCAGGAGGTCAAGGCTGCAGTGTACTGTGATCGTGCCACTGCACTCCAGCCTGGGTGAGAGAGTGAGATCCTGTCTAAAAAAAAAAAAAAAAAAAAAAAGGGGGGGGGAAAAAAAAAAAAAAAAAGAAACGGTGATGGGAAAAAAACACAGAACAGCATAAGAGGGGGTTGGGGAAGCTGGGTGGGGTGGGGAGATTGCAGTTTAAAGTAGGGAAGTCAGGGAAAGTGTCATCGAGCTGACTTGGAGGAAGCGGGAACCGTGCGGATATCTGGGGAAGGCTCATTCTTGGCAGAGAGGCCCTGCACTGAGCCTGGTGGGAGGCTTGAGCACAGGAGTGAACGTGGTGGAGGAGAGTGAGCCGCAGGAGGAAGGAGTGAAGGTCAGCAAAGTGACAGGGTGGCTGAATCAAAAAGGACCTTGCAGTGTTTGAGCAGAGGATCCACATCATCCATTATGTTCCAAAGGACCCCTCAGGATGCCGTGTGCAGAAAGGACGAAGGTGGAAGCCGGGAGGTCTGGAGGGAGGTCTGGAGTGGAGGAGATGAGAGGCTCCAGATCCCTCTGGGAGGCAGATTTGAGGACAGATTGGAATTGGGGTGAGAGAGAGAGAGAGAAAGAGAAGTGGCCAGGATGACTCCAAGATTTCTGACCCAAGCTGCTGGGAAGGACGTGGTGGTTGTCATTTCTGAAATGCAGAAGGATGCCAGAAGAGAAGGTACTTTGGGGAGGGGCAGGAATCAGGAGCTAGTTCTGGACATGAGACAAGCTTGGAGTATTTATTTGCTATCTAAGACGGCTCTTTAACATGGTCAGCCCTTATGCAAGTTGTTGTCAGCTGAGATGGGCGTAGCACTGAGCATGGGCGCATGGAGGCACCTGAGGGTCAGGGGCTGGGTGGCCTCATGTTCAGGTAATTTAGCAAACTCAGCGTCCATCCTGCCGATTCCAGTCCTGCCGCAGCCACTGACAAGCTAGGAGGGCGCCAATGTTTCCTCCAGCCCATCCATCTCCTCTCTCCCATTGGCCAAACCCAACTGGAAACCAAAGGCCAAGGGTACCTGGTGATGAAGACTGTGGTATCAGCCTCCTGAGCACAGAGAGAGCAGAAAGGGGTGGGAACTAAGAGGGGCACAGATAGTGGGCAAATGGGGAAGTGGCACTTCCCCTAGCTCGAGGGCACAGGCTTGGTGTGATGGATTGGCACTCCTTAAACTGCTACCTATTTTCTCTTTAATTTGGCCAAGAACAAGTTGTCAACTTTGTGTAAGATAAAGGTGCACTTGGTTCGTTCTTCTCTAATGGCCCCCGCACCCATGCGTATTTCTTCGGCTTCCACAGTCATCCAGACACTAGCTGGGAAGCTCCAGCAGCTCTGGTCCTGGCCCCAGCTCTGTGGGCACTGGCCCTCAACTTTGCCTGCACTGTGGTTTTGTGCTGTTCCCCTTGGTCCTGTTTGGGTGCAAGTCCCCCTTATGCGTTGCGTTCCTGGCCGCTCAGGCTGCTCCTGTGTCTCCCCAGGGAGCATGAAGGTCCTGCAGGAGCCCACCTGCGTCTCCGACTACATGAGCATCTCTACCTGTGAGTGGAAGATGGGCGGTCCCACCAATTGCAGCGCCGAGCTCCGTCTGTTGTACCAGCTGGTTTTTCAGTCCTCCGAGTAAGCCTGCGCTGGAGCTGGAGGTTTGGGGAGGTTGTGCCCAAAGGGTTTGGCCCAAGAGTGAGCTGGGTCCAGGTGGTGCGCTGGAGCGCAGGATGCTGAGTATGGTTTGCTGCTGTTTATTGGGTATGGTGTTAGAGGGGAGGTCCCATCTCCGGGGACATGTTATGTAAGATACAGCGGAGCGTGTGCTGGGAGTGTTGGTCCATGTGGCACATGGATACGGCTGGAATATTGGACTAGACCAGCAGTTCTCACACTTTTTGGTCTGAGGACCTTTTTTCACACTTAAAAATAAGTGAGGACCCAAAGGGCTTTGATCTAGGTAACACATCGTTCTATGTTTACCTAATTAGAACTTACAATGGAGAAATTTTGTAATTTTTAAAAAATTAAAACAATTAAAAATTTTTTTCTTATCAAGATGGAGGTCTCACTGTGTTACCCAGGCTGGTCTCAAACTCCTGGGCTCCAGTGATCCTCCTGCCTCAGCCTCCCAAAGTACTGGGATTATAGGCGTGAGCCACTGTACCTGGCCCAAAATGGAGAAATGTTAAGTCACAACAATATGCAAACCCCCATTCAACAAATCATCAGATCAATGACACGATCACAGGTCATGTAGCCTCTAGAAAATTCCACTGTATGCCAGTGAGAGAGTGTGAAAAGGCAAATAATGTCCCTGTATTATGATGAAAAGAGTTTGACCTGGTGGACCCAGACCACACTTTGAGAACCACTGGACTAGACCCTTGATTGAGGAATAGTGTTGCGAGTGGAGTTCAGTGTGATGGCGGATGGACCAGAGAACCTGGCATAGGAGTCAGGTGGTTCCCTGGGCTACTCCATGGTGGCACAGGATGCTTTGTTACACTGGTGCCCAGGACATAATCACGTACACAAGACACACAGTTACGGGGCAGACTGGGGATATATGGCACACCAGCACGCAAGGTAGAGGTGGTATTCCATGATTATTCTAAGGTAGATGGGCTGTGCTTTGTGTCCACTGGCATAGTCCAGGGACTGGCAAACTATGGCCTGTGAGCCAAATCTGGCCCACTGCTTGTTTTTGTAAATAAAGTTTTATTGAAACACACAGGCTGCTTTTGCACTACATCAGCAGAATTGAGTAGTTGTAACAGAAACTGCATGGCCCTCCTTTATCTTTTTTTTGAGACGGAGTTTCACTCTTGTTGCCCAGGCTGGAGTACAGTGGCACAATCTCGGCTCACTGCAACCTCTGCCTTCTGGGTTCAAGCGATTCTCCTGTCTCAGCCTCCTAAGTAGCTGGGATTACTGGTGCCTGCCACCACACCCGGCTAATTTTTTGTATTTTTAGTAGAGACTGGCTTTCACCATGTTGGCAAAGCTGGTCTCGAACCCCTGAACTCAGGTGATCCACCTGCCTTGGCCTCCCAAAGTGCTGGGATTACAGGCATGAGCCACTGAGCCCAGCCTACTCCTTTATCTTAATTGAAATAATTCAGAAATGGAAAGTCAAATACTGCATGTTCTCACTTATAAGTAAGAGTTAAATAATGTGTACACATGGGCATTGTTCCAGGTACAATGGAATAATAGACACTGAAGACTTGGGAGGGTGGGAGAGGGGGTGAGGGAAAAGAAATTACTTAGTGGGCATAGTGTAAACTGTTTGGGTGACGGACCCACCAAAACCCCAGACTTCACCACTAGGCAGCATATCCAGTGAGAACAGATCTGGGGGTTGGCATCAAAATTGCATTTGTAAGGCCGGGCACCTCAGTGGCTCACAGCTGTAATCCCAGCACTTTGGGAGGCTGAAGTGGGCAGATCACTTGAGGCCAGGAGTTCGAGACCAGCCTGGCCAACATGGTGAAGCCGCGTCTCTACTAAAAATACAACAGTTAGCTGGGTGTGGTGATGCACACCTGTAATCCCAGCTACTAGGGAGGCTGAGGCAGGAGAATTGCTTGAGCCCAGGAGGTGGAGGTTGCAGTGAGCTGAGATCGCACCACTGCACTCTAGTCTGGGTGTCAGAGCGAGACTCTGTCTCAGAAAAGAAAAAAAAGAAAAACAGCTCTTGTACCCCCTAAATTTATACAAATAACCAGAAAAAAAAAAAAAAAAGCAAAACAAAACAAAAAAAAACAATAACAAGACATTGTATGGTTTTTGAAGTCCAAAATATTAACTATCTGGCCTCTTACAGAAAACGTTTGCAGACCCCTGGCTTAGCCCATGAGATGTGGGTTGGCTGTTAAGGTGGAACACTGGAATTACCCTACGATGGCCAAATTCTGCGATGCACAGCTTATGTTGTTCTAAGTTAATTAGTGCCACCGGTTCTTCCCTTTCATGGCCTTTCAGGGACAAGCTAAGTCCCAGGACCAGGGCCAGCAGCTAGGCAGGTGTGAGGAGCATCCCTGGTGCATGTGGCCAGCAAGAGCGGCAACCCTGGTCAGCCGCCCCCAGCATACCCTGGCCGCTCCCAAGCCCCCAGATCTGTCCTCACGTCAGTGATCGGGAAGCTGGAAGAGTATGATGCGGTTCCTGGAGGCATGTCCCGGGCACAGCCGTGGGGCCCAGCCAGCCTACAGGTGACCAGCCTAACCCAGCCCCTGTGTCTGCAGAACCCACACGTGTGTCCCCGAGAACAACGGCGGTGTGGGGTGCGTGTGCCACCTGCTCATGGATGATGTGGTCAGTATGGACAACTATACGCTGGACCTGTGGGCTGGGCAGCAGCTGCTGTGGAAGGGCTCCTTCAAGCCCAGCGAGCATGGTGAGCAGGGCAGAGTGTGGCGGGCGTGGGTGGGTGTGTTCCCACAACCGCCTGGGCTGAGGGTGTGGTGGGCAGGGGAGGTGGGGGGGTCACAGCAATAGCAGGAGGAAGCCACCTGTATTTTCCCAAATCTGATAGGATTCCTGCCCCTGCCTGGGCCTCAGTCCTCCCATTTTTGAAACAGAGCTGGGCACAGTAGACCACTAAGCCCCCTTCAGCTCAGCTGTTTCCAGCCCTGAACTTATGTGCCCAGGAAGGCGTATTGAGATGAGGCGTGCTTGCTTGAAGGCATGCCTGCTGCTGATTGAAAACTGAACTGGGAACAGTCCTTCTGTTCTGTGTCCACTGGTCAGCTGCTGTGGCTTCAGATGGTCTAGACCATGGAAGGCTGACCTTCTCCTGGTACCTGGGGTCCCTGCAGGAGCCTCCCGTGAGCTTGCTGGGGTGTGGTGACAGGAGTTTAAAACATTGGTCATTGCTGTGTGACCTTGGGCAAGTCATGTTTCCTCTCTGAGCCCCAGTTTCCAGAAGACAGTTGTTGTCCCCATTTTGCAGTTGAATGAAGTGTAGTTCTGAGAAGGCAAGTAACCTGCCTCGGGTCACACAGCTTCTCAGCAGCAGAGGCAGTACTCAAGGCCAGGGCCCTGCAGGGCTCAGTTCACCGCGCCATCAGCCGTTCCAGAAGGTCTGCTCAGGGCTGGTAGCTGGGAGGTTATTTAAACGGACCCATGAATGAACTTTAAGATAATTTTGACATTTTTATTTTATTTTTATTTTTACATGTTTCCTGTTTTTTTAGAGACAGGGTCTCTGTCACCCAGGCTGGAGTGCAGTGATACGATCGTAGCTCACTGCAGCTTCCAATTCCTGGGCTCAAGTGATCCTCCCGCCTCAGCCTCCCGAGTAGCTAGGACTAAAGTGTGCATCACCATACCTAGCTAACTTAAAAACATTTGTTTTTTGTGGAGATGAGAGTCTCACTGTGTTGCTCAGGCTGGCTGGTCGCAAACTCCTGGCCTCAACTGATCCTCTTGCCTCAGCCTCCTAAAGTGCTGGGGTTACAGATGTGAGCCTACATACCCAGCCTACATTTGGGTTTTAATACAAATGAAATATATTTTTAGTATATTGATTTTAATGCATATTAAAATGCATTATATTATATTCCCGTGATGCATAGTATAACCCGAGGTCTCAGGGATATGATTGCTTCAAAGGAGACCAAGTTTTAAAACAGATCAATCAAAATAAAGAAAAATACTCAGTAAATCATCATAAAGTACGGAGATGTGGCCAAAGGAGTGAAGGATGCAGCTTTAAAAGCTGAAGTTTGAAACCGGGCATGGTGGTTCACGCCTATAATCCCAGCACTTTGGGAGGCTGAGGTGGGCGGATCACCTGAGGTCAGGAGTTTGAGACCAGCCTGGCCAACATGGTAAAACCCCGTCTCTACTAAAAATACAAAAAATTAGTCTGGCATGGTGGCAAGCGCCTGTAATCCCAGCTACTCGGGAGGGGAGGCTGAGGTGGGAGAATGGCTTGAACCCAGGAGGCGGAGGTTGCAGTGAGCCTAGATCACGCTACTGCACTCCAGCCTGGGTGACAGAGCGACATTATGTCCCAAGGAAAAAAAAAAAAATGCTGAAGTTTGGATTACTTTGGCTTATACATTTTGCCTTCACTGTAGAAAGGTGGTTAATAAAAGACCAGGCGCGGTGGCTCATGCCTGGAATCCCAGCACTTTTGGAGCCCGAGGCAGACAGATCACTTGAGCCCTGGGCAACTGAGGCTGCAGTGAGCTGTGACTGTGCCACTGCACTCCAGCCTGGGCAACAGAGTGGGACCCTGTCTCAAAAAGAAAAAAGGGTAATTAATAAACACTAAAATTCTATGTAGAATTTTAGCAACATTAAATCGTGGCTCTGAATCTGTGGTGCTCCAGAAGTATGCTACAGAGGTTTTGTCCACCAGAAATCTGGGTGGTGGCTGTGGTTTGCAGTCTGGGGCCGGACTGGGTGATGGGAGAGTCACTGCATAGATCCTCACACAGATGCCGCTTCTCCTGCAGTGAAACCCAGGGCCCCAGGAAACCTCACGGTTCACACCAATGTCTCCGACACTGTGCTGCTGACCTGGAGCAACCCGTATCCCCCTGACAATTACCTGTATAATGATCTCACCTATGCAGTCAACATTTGGAGTGAAAACAACCCGGCAGATGTGAGTGGGCATGCTTTGACGTTTTTCTGTGACCTCTGGGGAACAGGGTGGGTGACCAGCAGGGGCCCAGTCCCTGGAGCCAGGAGCCTAGGCGGCAAGCCCTGGGACTGGATAGCAAATCCCAGGAGCTAGAGACCTGGCTTCTCACCCGGCTCTGCCCTAGGCAAGTCCCTTCGCTTCCCGGCCCCCCACCCCGCACATGAGAGAAGGGGAGTTATTTCTGCTCGCCGCTCCTCATCTGTAAAGGTATGGCTGTGGGCTGCGCCTGTGTTTCCCAGTTTGGGGGACACAAGCGATCGTAGGTGGCACATCCACAGCTCACTTGATTAACCCTATTATTGAAGAGAAGAATACTGATTCAAGAGACAGTGACCCATGTCAGTTCCCCTTTTGAGGCCATCCGGGTAAGGCGGAAGTCTCTGGGAGCTGACTCGTTTACTAATTCCTCTTAATGAAGAGAGCAGAGGCCACACCCCAGGCTTAGACTTTCCCAAGAAAACAAGGTCAGTTTGTTGCTTGGTCCACATGGCAGCTAGTCCTGACATTCCCTTCACGGTAGTGGTAGTGGAGTTTTTGTTGTTTGTTTGTTTGTTTGTTTTGAGACAGTGTCTCGCTCTGTCACCCAGGCTGGAGTGCAGTGGTGCCATCTCGGCTCACTGCAACCTCCACCTCCTGGGTTCTAGCGATTCTCCTGCCTCAGCCTCCTGAGCAGCCGGAACTACAGGCGGCTGTCACCACGCCCGGCTGATGTTTGTATTTTTAGTAGAGATGGGGTTTCACCGTGTTGGCCAGGCTAGTCGCGAACTCCTGACCTCAGGTGATCCACCCGCCTCAGCCTCCCAAAGTGCTGGGATTACAGGTGTGAGCCGCTGCACCTGGCCAGTGGAGTTCCTCCTTAAATACATGTATTGACATCTTTAAAAAGAGCGAGAGGATTTACAGGAAACTGTCAGGTCAATAATGGCAGGGACCATCCACAGGGGGTGGCTGAGTCCCCCTATTTTTGCTGCCGGTGTGCGGGGAGGCCATTTCCTGCCACCCATGTTTCCCTACCCTGAATCCACCTTCCTCACATTCCCATTGAAGGGATAATCTCTGGGTCTCGCCATGTTGTCTAGGCTGGTCTGGATCTCCTGGCTTCACGTGATCCCCCTGGCTCGGCCTCCCAAGGTGCTGGGATTACAGGCTTGAGCCACCGCATCCAGCCCAGATCTGAGATTTGTGCCCAGTATTTGAACTCCCAAGCCTGTGTGCTCTTTTTCCTCCCATGGACATTTCTCTCAGAGATGGTCTCCTGAACACCTGACCTCCTTGTTAAGAAAACAGACAAACCACAAGTAGTTCCTTGGAAGCTCAGATTTCTCTTTTGTTTCTTAACAAAACATTTCGCAGTTCCCAGCTCCCTTCCAGGGTGTACAGTTTCTTCGGTAATCTAGCTATTGCTTCTTGTTTACTCTTGTTTAGAAAGAAAGATGAAAGGGAGTGAGAATTTTCCCTCCCTTCTCTAGTCTCCCCTCAACTCACACCCCGCCCTCAGCTCCTCTGTAATAGGAAAATCTCTGAACTCTCTGCAATTGCTCCAGCAATCTGTTGGGACTTTGCTTCTTTCTTGTGAAAAACTCCCCTTGGCTCACTTTGCACCAGATTTCCCCAAATGTGCTTCCAACCACAAGCAGAAATGGAGCTGCCAGGAACCAGGAAGAAACTGCCGGGGGCTGAGGAGGAGGAGAGGGAGGTGCATAGCCCTGGATCTCGCAGGGAGAGGGGTGACAGGATGAGAACTCAGGTTGCTCACTTGCCATCGTGGTCAGCGTTCATTTATCACTTTTTAAAGCTTTTTTGGAGGGTAAAAGTAATAGTTACATGAAATAAAAATACAAATGGTACAAAAGGACTTAGAATGGAAATACATTTCTCTCCTGACTGCAGCCTCCTGTTTTTCTTCCCAGAGACTGACGACTGCTATCTGTCTCTTGCCAGGAGGGAAAAGGAGGCAAGGTTAGGGCAGGCAGAGGGCATGTGCATCCTCTAGAGAGAGCTTTCGTCTATACAAGCAAATGTGTGTGTTCATTCATCGCTGTCTTAATTTTCTATTGCTGCATAATAATGGCACCACCAGCTTCACAGCTTTAAACAACACCCATTTATTATCTCACAGTTTCTGTGGGTTGGGAGTCTGAACATAGCTTAGCCAGGTTCTCTGCTTTAGAGTCTCGTGAGGCTATAATCAAGTTGTGGGCTGGGGCTGCAGTTTCATCTGAGGCTCAACTGGGGAAGGGTCGCTTCTAAGCTCATATGATATTGGTGACCTTCAGGTCCTGGCAGGCTGTTGAACTGAGAGCCTCAGTTTCGTACTGGCTTTTGGTTGTAGTTAACCCCACATTCCTTCCTGTGTGCCCTTTGCAAAGCCATCAAGGCAGAGAGACTTGCAGTCTTCTGTAATATAATCACATCCATGAAATCCTCTATATATCTCATCACCTTTACCATATTCTATGGGTTAGAAACAAGTAGCAGGTCCTGCCCACACTCGAGAAGACCAGATGACACAAAGACATGATTCAAAGTGGGGATCCTGGGGGCCATCTTAGGTTTGTCTGCAATGATCCTTGTGCCATCTCTCTGTTTCTTTTTGTTTTTTTGAGACAAAGTCTCGCTCTGTCACCCAGGCTGGAGTGCAGTGGTGTGATCTCAGCTCACTGCAATCTCCGCTTCCTGGGTTCAAACGATTCTTCTGCCTCAGCCTCCTGAGTAGCTGGGATTACAGGCGCCTGCCACCACACCCAGCTAATTTTTGTATTTTTAGTAGAGACAGTGTTTCACCATGTTGGCCAGGCTGGTCTTGAACTCCTCACTCAAGTGATCCACCCACTTTGGCCTCCCAAAGTGCTGGGATTACAGGGGTGAACCATGCCCGGCCCCATCTCTCTTTAAAAAAACAAAACAAAAAAAAAAAAAAACATAAAAGGAAGCAGAGAACACATACGCATCTGCATCTTACCTTGTTTACTTAACAACATATCTTGGAGGTCACTTCTCAGTGAAGGCTAGGTTGGGCAGAGCATTGGATTCTAGGCCAATGAGTTTGGACTTGACCATGGAGACACTAGGAAGCCCATGAAGGACACAGAGAGAGATGCCTTGACCCTGCCAGTCCTTCAGAAAGATCACCCTGTGCTTTTTGTATACCAAACCCTATTCAAAATACTTACCTATGTTAACCCATTTCCTTATCACCACAACCCTGGGGGGAGGGAGGGAGATAGGCTTTTTTATTACCCTCATTTTGCAGATGAAGATATTGAGGTCCAGAGAGGTTATGTAACTTACTTAAGGTCACACAGCCAGGAAGTGGTAGCGGGGACTCTTACCCTTGTTTTACAGATGATATTGAATTATCTGACGAAAACTCAGAAAGGTTAAACAACTTGCCTAAGTAACATAATATGGCTAATGAGTCGGGGAGCCTAACCTGTGTTGCTTTGGCCTGGTCACAGTTACAGAGGTGGCAAGCAAGGACCTAAACAGGATGAACACCCACATACCTAGGCTGATGGCTCTAAACATGGTGGGGTCAGCTAAGGACAGCAACCAGGGTGGGCACTGGTCCCCCTCATTCCCGGCTGGTGCACTAACATCTCCCTTTTCTCTACCAGTCCAGAATCCATAACGTGACCTACCTAAAACCCACCCTCCGCATCCCAGCCAGCACCCTGAAGTCTGGAATTTCCTACAGGGCACGGGTGAGGGCCTGGGCTCAGCACTATAACACCACCTGGAGTGAGTGGAGCCCCAGCACCAAGTGGTACAACTGTGAGTATCAAGAGGCCTTAGCAATGCTAATCTCCACTCTCCATTCTTCCCCTGTGGCCAGACGCATCCCCTGGCTGAGTCTCTGGGTTTTTATATCATAGGATGCCTCTAATGGCAAATAATGAAATTACCACCTGCCATAGTGTATCGGTCAGGTAGGCAGGCTAGGCTGCAGTAACAAGCAAGCCCGTAATTTCCATGGCTTAACACTATCGGAATATATTTCTTGCTCATGTAACAAGCTAATGTGAATGTTGCTGGTTTGTGGGTGGTTTCCCTACCTATAGAAATCTGGGGAGTGAGGTTCTGTCCATCTTGTGGTGCCATCATTCTCCAGGACAAAGATTCTTAACTGTTTTTGTGTCCTGTTTCCATTTGGCAGCCTGGTGAAGCCTATGGACCTCATCTCAGAATATTTTTAAATACATAAAATCCAAGCCTGGGCAACATAGTGAGACCCCCATCTGTACAAAAAATTAGTCAGGCATGGTGGCATGGACCTGTAGTCCCAGGTACTGGGAAGGCTGAGGTGGGAGGTTCACCTGAGCCCAGGAGTTTGAGGCTTCAGTGAGCCGTGATCGTACCACTGTACTCCCACCTGGGTGACAGAGCAAGAGCCCATCTTTAAAAATAAATAAATACAATGAAATAAAATAAAATAAATAGAATTACAGAGGAAAGTAATTGTATTGAAATGCAGTTATAAAATATTTAAACACATTTTTAATCTAGGGATATATGTGCTTCTTTATTAAGATATAAATAAGTTCTAGGGGTAGATCTCATAACTACTGTAATTTCAAAGTAGATAAGCATAAATAATACCTTATGATACTGAAATTGTGATGTGATATGAGAGTAGCTGTGAGTTTTCCTGGGGACAGGATCACTGATGCTATCATTATTGGGGTCTCTTCCCTCCATTCTTTTTTTAAAATTTAATTTTAATTTTATTTTAAAAATTTTTAAATAAATAGAGACAGGGTCTCACTATGTTGCCCAGGCTGCTCTTGACCTCCTGGGCTCCAGTGATCCTCCCATCTTGGCTTCCCAAAGTGCTGGGATTGCAGGTGGGAGCCAGTGTTCCTGGCCCCTTCCTCCATCCTTAATGGAAGATGCCAGGTGTCAGAGGTTAGGGAAAACAAAGATGTAATTTCATTCCCATCCAAGTTCTCAGAGCCTTGAATTCTACCTGCAGCCATGTTGGTCCACCAACCCCAAGTGAAGAATCCCTGCTCTAGGGCCCCACCATTCTGCATCCAGCCAGCAGAAGAGGCGTGATGGTGTGGAGAGCACATCTGCTTCTTGAAAGCAGGCAGCCCGGAAGTGGGCCACATCACTTCCTCTCAAATTCTATTGGTGAAAATGGTTACATGACTACACATAGCCACAAAGGAGGCTGGGAACTTTCTCACTTGAAACCTACATCCCAGAAACAACTCTTTTCAGTGAGGTATCCCACAGGTCTTTTGCAGTAGAAATATTGATTATCTCACATAAAATGAAGTCTTACAAATGGACCTACTGGGGTTTGTACAGCAACCAAGTGATATCTCTTCCCTTCTGCCATCCTTCACACCGTGGCATTTTATCCTTAGACTTGCCACCCATGCCCTCAGGTTGGCCGTTGCACACTGCCTTACATAAAGCAGGAAGGAAAGGAAAGGCTGCTACGAGAGAGTGTACCTTGTGCATCTCTCTTTTTTTCATCGGGAAGCAAACATCTTTCTAGAAGCTTCCCTAGCACAATTCCCCTTACTTCTCATTGGCCAGGACTGTTACATGTTACATGGTTACTGTTACTTGCTCATTGCAAAGAAGACTGGGAACTTCAATGCCTGGAAAAGGGAACAGGATAATCGTGATTGGCCCAAGCCTTAGGGTGGTCATGGCTCCCTGACAAGGGAGAGAGGAAAAAGCTGTTGAGTGAAGAAGACTGCTTCAATTTCCCCATCTGTATAATGGGAGGAGTAAGGGCTGTTGTGAAAACTCAATGAAAGAAGATTCTTCAACGTGGTGGGTGCAGTGGCGGCTGGCAGTACCCCGACCCTGCCACCGCACAGCCCTCTCAGCATTGCTCATCCTGCACTGTGGATATCAGTTGAGCCATGTGTCTCCCGCCCTGAGCTGTGAGCTCCGTAGGCAGGATCTCCATGGCTGTATCTCCAGAGCCCAGCACAGAACCAGGTGCTTGGGAAGGTTTTGAATTGATTCTTCTCTGCCATTGACTTGGGGAAGGGAATTAGCTTACATGAAACAGATACGATGTGTAGGACCCTCATCAATTATTTCAGCAAATAGTTACTGAGTTCATCCTACATGGCTAGCCCTGTGCTAGACACTGGGGAATCAGTGATGAACAAAGCAGACAGAAATCCCCACTCTTGTGGAGCTGACATTCTGGAGGGGAGAGACAAAAAGCAGACATATAAAGAAAGAAAGAAATCACACGGATCCGGATGACAGTGAGTGTTGGGAAGAAAATAAAACCAGAGGAAGAGGATGGAGCGATGGGAGGGCAACCGTAGGGAGGGTGTCAGGGAAGACTTTTCAGAGAATGTGACGATGAAAGTGAACAAGGAGGAGTCAACCATGTTGAGATGAAGGCAGCTAATGGTATGGACAGGCCACTCTGTTCTGAGTGCATTATCTATTGATTCATCATGCAATCCTCGCAACACCCCTGCACGATAAGTTCTGTCATTAGCCTCATAGTACAGATGAGGATGCTGAGGCACAGAGAAGGTAAGGGACTTGTCCTGCGTCACACAGCACAGAGCCATCTGGCTTCTAGGTCGGTGCATTTGACTTCTGTGCTTCCGGAAAGAAAGAGCAGCAAGTTCAAGATCTGGAGGTGGCACTGAGCTTTGGAGGAGCAGGGGGCAATGAGGCGGCCGGTGTGACGAGGACTCAATGTGCAAGAGGGAGAGTGGGGGGAGATGAGGTGGAGGGTTGGTCGGCGGCCAGATCGTGGAGGGTCTCGGAGGAGGGTCTTGACCCTGGGTCTCCAGTTCTGAGAAGTGGAGCCCGGGCTGTACCATGGCTGACTCCAGCTCATGGCTTCCCCTCCCAATTCCAGCCTACAGGGAGCCCTTCGAGCAGCGCCTCCTGTGGGGTGTCAGCGCCGCCTGCGTTTTCATCCTGTTCTTCTGCGTGTCATGCTATTTCAGCGTCACCAAGTGAGTCCTGGGCCCAGTGCTGCTGAGCGGTCCCTCTGGAGTGCACGGTGGCAGGGACTTGCCCCTCCAATCTGCCCCTTTGCAGTCCTCTCATTCAATAATACATATTTATTGAGCAGCTACTACACACCTTGAGAGTAGAGCTGAGAACGAGATCAACAAGGACCCTAGTTTTGTTTTGTTTTGTTTTTTGAGATGGGGTCTCGCTCTATTGCCCAGGCTGGTGCAGTGGTGCGATCTCGGCTAACAGCAACCTCCGCCTCCCGGGTTCAAGCGATTCTTCTGCCTCAGCCTCCTGAGTAGCTGGGATTACAGGCGCACGCCACCATGCCTGGCTAATTTTTTGTATTTTTAGTAGAGACTGGATTTCACCATGTTGGTCAGGCTGGTCTTGAACTCTTGACCTCATGATCTGCCCGCCTCAGCCTCCCAAAGTGCTGGGATTACAGACCTGAGCCACTGCGCCCGGCCAGGACACCACATTTGTAAAACCAGCATCTTAGCGGGGAGACAGAATACATATCAATGATGAACAGATGGTTTTCCATAGTGACCCACGCTCTGAATGCACTAGACCAGGGTGCAGGTCAGAGATCTTCTGGGGTGCTCTTTGCAAGGGGGAACCAGGATAAGGCTCTCCAAGGAGGGAAAATCTGAGGGGGGCCCTGACTGGGGAGAATGAGTTGACCAGGGACAAGCAAGATAGAGTCATCCCACATCCCCTTATGACACTGGCTGCCCGGGCAATTGGGGCCATTTGGGGGTATGTGGTAGGAGCCAGAGGAATTTGCGATGATTGCCCTGATGGAGTCAGGAGACCTGAGTTTGAATCCTGGCCTTGGAGCTCGGTAGCTGGTGGCTGACAAGTTGCTGAAACCCCTGAGCCTGGGGTTCCTGCTTTGCAGATTGAGAGTGACGGTGAGAACGTATTTCATCAGCCAGAAGAGGCCGAATCACAGTAAAGGATGAGGGGCGAGTGACTGGTAGGTGGTGGTGGAAGGAGCATTGTTTCCAGAGAGCTCTTGCCAGCCCTTGGAATCGTGGTGTCTCAGAGCTTCAGTCCTCCCGTCTCTGAAATGGGACTAGCAAGCTCAGCCTCACCAAGTCAGGATTAGAGGTGGCTGAGGATTATTCACATGATTGATGAAAGTGCCCGCTCTTGGCCCGGCACACACTAGGTAGGCAGGGAATGCAAATTCTCCTCCATATCTTGTCACTGATGCCTCCAGGCAACCTTGGGCTGATTGCCTTGCTCTGAGCCTCAGTTTCCCCATCACCTGTACCTCTTCCCACTCCCCATCACCATATCCCAGCATGCCAGCCTCTTTGCTGTTCTTTGTCTTTGGTTTCTTGTTTTGTTCTGTTTTTTAGACAGGGTCTCACTCTGTTACCCAGATTGGAGTGCAGTGGCATGGTTATGGCTCACTGCAGCCTCCAATTCCTGGGCTAAAGTGATCCTCCCATTTCAACTTCCAGAGTAGCTGGGACAACAGGCGTGTGCCACCAGGCCTGGCTAATTTTCTTTATTTTATTTTATTTTTTATTTTATTTATTTTATTTTATTATTTTATTTTATTTTATTTTTTGAGATGGAGTCTCAAAGACCAAGCTGGAGTGCAGCGGTGTGATCTCGACTCACTGCAACCTCCGCCTCCTGGCTTCAAGCAATTATCCTGCCTTAGCCTTCCGAGTAGCTGGGATTACAGGCATGCACTACCACACTACCATTTGTAGTAGAGATGGGGTTTCACCATGTTGGCCAGGATGGTCTTGAATTCCTGACCTCAAGTGATCCACCTGCCTCAGCCTCCCAAGGTGCTGGGATTACAGGCATGAGCCATTGTGCCTGGCCAATTTTCTTACATTTTGTAGAGACTGATTGTCACTTATGTAGCCCAGGCTGGTCTTGAACTTCTACCCCTTTATCTTTATTCATGGCACTTATTGCCATGAATGATTGACCTCATATAAGCATTTCTTTCTTTCTTTCTCTTTTTTTTTGAGATGGAGTCTCACTCTGTCACCCAGGCTGGAGTGCAGTGGCGTGATCTCGGCTCACTGCAACCTCTGCCTCCTGGGTTCAAGGGATTCTCCTCCCTCAGCCTCCTGAGTAGCTGAGATTACAAGTGCGTGCCACCATGCCTGGCTAAATTTTGTATTTTTAGTAGAGATGGAGTTTCACCATGTTGGCCAGGCTGGTGTTGAACTTCAGGTGATCCACCTGCCTCGGCCTCCCAAAATGCTGGGATTACAGGCGTGAGCCACCATGCCTGGCCTCATATAAGCATTTCTGCCTCCATTTATCATCCATCTGCCTCTCTTGAAGCTCAGTTTCACCAGGGCAGGCATCTTTGTTTCATTCACTGTTGTGGCCTCAGGGCCGGGCACGGTGAGTCAAACATAGAAGGTGCTCAATAAATACGTGTTGACTGAAACCGTGGACAGAGGCTAATTCAGAAGCGGTCTGAGGATCTTACCTTAGAGGGATGATGCACCATGGCCCCAGGCAGGCCAGGAAAGAGAAGGGAGGTGTTTCTCCGTAGATCCCCCAGCTTCCCAGCCCATCCCAGGCCACTCCCTGGTCATTTGCCCTCAGCTGCTCTGAAAAGGGATTGTTGAGGGGAACCTAGAATCCTCTCTCTGCAGTTTGAGTCTTTCCTAATCCCCTGGGGTCTCGTTCCCACTGAGGACACAGGTGGCCTCATCAGGAACTCTGCTCTGGGTAACAGAATGCGGGAGTGTGAACCTAGCTCTGCCACCTACCAGCTGTCACTCCGCCTTCTTGGGCCTCACTCTCCTCATCTGTAGAACAGGGTTAGCAATAGAATCCATGTCACCAGGTTAGAGTAAGGAGTCAGTGGTTTGACCTCCAGAAACTAACCAGCCTGATTTCTGACGCCAAATAAATATTGGTGATAACGACCGTTTTTATGGGAGGAGCCTTCACCTGTCAGTAATTCAGAGATCAACACCTTTTCCTTTTGTTTTTCAGGATCAAGAAAGCATGGTGGGACCAGATTCCCAACCCAGCCCGCAGCCACCTCGTGGCTATAATAATCCAGGATGCTCAGGTAGGAGCGGGCGTGGGTGAGGATATGTGGGACTGCGTACAGGAAGAAGTGTGGTCCAGAACACCTGGGCTGTTAAGGACATTCATTGGCTTCTGGAATGGCAAATGGACAGTCAGGAGGGTTGCAGGGCAGACAGAGACAGAAGCCGAAGGAGGTCATCAGGAGACCAGAGGCTTTCCCGCCCTTCCCCTTGGCAATCCCAGCCTGGGGTGGGCTCCTCTGGGGTTGGTTTCCTGTTTTTTTCCCTCCCCTTGGGAGAATGACCCTTGGGTCATCATCACTGTGTCATTCCCTGGGGAGGTGCCAGTACCAGGGCTAGAGGCCAGAAGGAGAGGAGGACGGAGAGGGTGACAGGCTTTCAGTGTCTTCCTCTTAAGCATAGGAAACTGCCCCCGCAACACCAGCAAATCCCTTCCGGGTTCTCATTGGCCTGAAATGTATCCCACCCCTGAGCCAGGGGTGGAGTCAGTTTCCCAAGGCCATGGTCCTGTGGGTGAGTGGGTGGGGTTTGCCTGAGCAAGATTGGAGTTCTTTAGGAAGGAGAAACGGGGGATACAGGTCCTGTCTAGAAGAGAAGGTCTGAGGGTCCTTGCTTTCCCAGGGACTCTGGAATCTGGTGGTGTTGGCTTTGATTTCTGACTCTGCCACTCACTGGCAGTGTGGACTTGAGCAAGTTGCTTAATTCTCTGAGCCTCAGTTTCCTCTTGTGGGTTATAACAGTGTTTACCCAGTAGGGCAGATATTGGAATTTATTGAGGCAATACATATAAAGTGCATATTCCAGCCTCTTGCAAATACCAAGTGCCATTTATGTATCAGTTAGTGTTTGCTGTGTAACAAATGACCCTGAAATGTAGAGAGTTACAACATCAACTTTAGCTCATGCTTCTGCAGGCTGGCATTTGGGGCTGGGCTCAGCAGTGAGGGTGGCGGGGGAGGCTGGGCTGGGCAGATCTGGATTGAGCTGGCCTCCCTCCGTGGCCTCCCTCAGTGGCCTCCCTCCGTGTCCGACAGTTGGGTTTTTTTTTTTTTCTTTTTCTGAGACGGAGTTTTGCACTTATTGCCCAGGCAGGAGTGCAATGGCATGATCTTGGCTCACCGCAACCTCCGCCTCCCTGGTTCAAGCGATTCTCTTGCTTCGGCCTCCCGAGTAGCTGGGATTACAGGCATGCACCACCATGCCAGGCTAATTTTGTATTTTTAATAGAGACGGGATTTCTCCATGTTGGTCAGGCTGGTCTCAAACTCCTGATGTCAGGTGATCCACCTGCCTCGGCCTCCCAAGGTGCTGGGATTACAGGTGTGAGCCACCACACCCAGCCTAGTTGGCTGACTTTTACCTGGGACAGTGCAGATGCGTGAGCCATGTGCCTCCCACCCTCCAGCAGGCCGGCCCAGGCTTGTTCACAGAGTGGCTTGGTTTTCAAGGGTGGGAAATCCCAAGGCTTCTTGAGGCCCAGGCACAGAACTGGCACGATGTCACTTCCATCACATTCTATGGGTCCAAGCAAGTCCCAGGGCCAGGGTAGATTCAAGGGATGGGAGGAGATTCAGAGCACTCCTCTGTGGCCTCTTTTGCCATCGACCACAGTCCCTGTGACTATTAGGACAATGTCATCAATTCCCAGGAATCTGAGGCTCAGAAAGTGTAAGTGACCTGTTGGACTTCCGACCTGCGTGATGTTGAGGCTTGCGCCCCTTCCTGAGCATTGCCGTACTGCAGGCCGGGCTGCAAGGCCACTCTGCTCTTTCATTGGCTGTCTCTGTATTTTAGGAGTCACAGTGGGAGAAGCGATCCCGAGGCCAGGAAGCAGCCAAGTGCCCGTATGTATCTGAACTTAGGTCACAGCCTGCATGCATTGGGAAGGTGATAGAGTTGGAGAGGCAAGCCCCTAGCTCTATGTCTGCCTCCTCTCCCCCGGCATTCGGTAATTGCCCTGTGACATTAGGCTTCAGGGGACGGCAGGAGGAGGGGTGTTTTGGAAATGTGGAGCGCTGGCCAAGCCCCCTGAGTTTCACCGGTGTGTCAGGTACATGGTGAAGCCCCTCGGGAGTGCTGTTATAGTTAACAATCAGAGCAGACGTGCCTGTTGTTAAAATCCTGACCTAATTGTATACTTGTTGGCAAATAGCCACTATCCTGAACACTCCCCCAATTTTTTTTTTTTAAATATACAGGATCTCACTCTGTTGCCCAGGCTGGTGTGCAGTGGTGCAGTCATAGCTCACTGCAGCTTCAAACTCCTGGGCTCAAGTGATCCTCCCTCCTTAGCCTCCCGAGTAGCTGATACTACAGACGTACATTACCACGCCTGGCTATTTTAAAAGGTTTTTGCCTGTAATTGCAGCTACTCAGGAGGCTGAGGCATGAGAATCACTTGAACCCGGGAGGGGGAGGTTGCAGTGAGCGGAGATTGTGCCATTGCACTCCAGCCTGGGTGACAGAATGAGACTCTAGTCTCAAAAAAAATAATAATAATAATAAAAGTTTTTGTAAAGACAAGCTCTCGCTGTGTTGCCCCGCCACTGTGGCCTCCTTAGCTTCCTCCCTGGGGCCTGCTGGACCTTTCCACACTCCAGACACTAAAAGGGGTCCAGGATGCTTCTTCAACCCTAGGACCCTGCATCTTTTTTTTTTTTTTTTTTTTTTTTTTGACACAGGGTCTTGCTCTGTCCCTCAGGCTGGATGCAGTGATTCACTGCAGCCTCAAACTCCTGGGCTCAAGTGATTCTCTGGCCTCAGTCTCCTGGGCTCTGTTGCCCAGGCTGTTCTCAAGCTCCTGAGCTCAAGTGATCCTCCCGCCTCAGCCTCCTGAAGTGCTGGGATTACAGGCGTGAGCCCCTGCATCTGGCTTCCATATCCATTCTAATTGGTCATGGCTTGGGATATGGTGTTGCTTTTAATTATAATCATCCATAAAGACTTTATCTTATTCAACAGATCTGAGCTTGTGTTTGGTGCCAGGACATGTGCTGGGTTCCTGAAATCCCAAAGACACAGGCCCTACCCTCATTTCCCATTCTAGCAATATAGACTGATCAATTACTGATTATAACATTAAAAGGCATGTCTGCAGTAGACGGCCATCAGGACATGGTGATTTCAGGCTGGGCTTTGAAGAATGAATAGGAGTTTTTCAAGTATCGAAACTGAACCCTGACCAAACGTTGCTTTTGCAGATACTGGAAGAATTGTCTTACCAAGCTCTTGCCCTGTTTTCTGGAGCACAACATGAAAAGGGATGAGGATCCCCACAAGGCTGTCAAAGATCTGCCTTTCCAGGGCTCCGGAAAATCAGCATGGTGCCCGGTGGAGATCAGCAAGACAGTCCTCTGGCCAGAGAGCATCAGCGTGGTGCGATGCGTGGAGTTGTTTGAGGCTCCAGTGGAGTGTAAGGAGGAGGAGGAGGTAGAGGAAGAAAAAGAGAGCTTCTGTGCATCATCTGAGAGCAACAGGGATGACTTCCAGGAGGGAAGGGAGAGTATTGTGGCCCGGCTAACAGAGAGCCTGTTCCTGGACCTGCTCGGAGGGGAGAATGGGGGCTTTTGCCAGCAGGACATGGGGGAGTCGTGCCTTCTTCCACCTTTGGGAAGCACGAGTGCTCACGTGCCCTGGGATGAGTTCCCAAGTGCAGGGCCCAAGGAGGTGCCTCCCTGGGGCAAGGAGCAGCCTCTCCACCAGGAGCCGAGTCCTCCTGCCAGCCCAACGCAGAGCCCAGACAACCCGACTTGCACAGAGATGCCCCTCGTCATCTCAAGCAACCCTGCTTACCGCAGCTTCAGCAACTCCCTGAGCCAGTCCCCATGTCCCAGAGAGCTGGGTCCAGACCCGCTGCTGGCCAGACATCTGGAGGAAGTGGACCCTGAGATGCCCTGTGCCCCCCAGCTCTCTGAGCCAACCACTGTGGCCCCAGCTGAGCCAGAAACCTGGGAGCAGATCCTCCGTCGGAATGTCCTCCAGCACGGGGCGGCTGCAGCCCCCGCCTCGGCCCCCACCAGTGGCTATCGGGAGTTTGTACATGCGGTGCAGCAGGGTGGCATCCAGGCCAGTGCGGTGGCGGGCTTGGGTCCCCCGGGAGAGGCTGGGTACAAGGCCTTCTCAAGCCTGCTTGCCAGCAGTGCCGTGTCCCCGGGGGAATGTGGATTTGGGGCTAGCAGTGGGGAAGAGGGGTATAAGCCTTTCCAAGACCTCACTCCTGGCTGCCCCGGGGACCCTGCCCCAGTCCCTGTCCCCTTGTTCACCTTTGGACTGGACAGGGAGCCACCTCACAGCCTGCAGAGCTCACACCTCCCAAGCAGCTCCCCAGAGCACCTGGGTCTGGAACCAGGGGAAAAAGTAGAGGACATGCAGAAGCCCCCACTCCCCCCGGAGCAGGCCACAGACCCCCTTGGGGACAGCCTGGGCAGTGGCATCGTCTACTCAGCCCTCACCTGCCACCTGTGCGGCCACCTGAAGCAGTGTCATGGCCAGGAGGATGGTGGCCAGGCCCCTGTCGTGGCCAGTCCCTGCTGTGGCTGCTGCTGTGGAGACAGGTCCTCGCCCCCTACAACCCCCCTGAGGGCCCCAGACCCCTCTTTAGGTGGGGTTCCACTGGAGGCCAGCCTCTGTCCGGCCTCCCTGGCACCCTCGGGCATCTCAGAGAAGAGTAAATCCTCATTGTCCTTCCATCCTGCCCCCGGCAGTGCTCAGAGCTCAAGCCAGACTCCCCAGATCGTGAACTTTGTCTCCGTGGGTCCCACATGCATGAGGGTCTCTTAGGTGCGTGCCCTCTTGTTGCTGAGGTCTGCAGATAAGGACTAGGGCTTATCCATGCCTGGGAAATGCCACCTCTTGGAAGGCAGCCAGGCTGGCAGATTTCCAAAAGACTTGAAGAAATGTGCTATGAAGGTGTTAGGTTCCACTGACATTGGCCTAACACCGGGTTGCAGAGACTGGACTCCGCCCAGCATTGGGCTGGGCTCGCCACATCCAATGAGAGGAGAGGGCACTGGGTCGCTGTGCCCCACGGCAGGCCCCTGCAGGAAAACTGAGATCCTTGGGCACCTCGACTTGTGAACAAGTTGTTGGCTGCTCCATCCACAACTTCTGTAGCAGACTGTCCCTGTTGTACCTGCCCAGGGCATGTTTTGCCCGCCAAATCACCATGGCCCACATAGAGGCCCACCTGCCTCTGTCTCACTGAACTAGAAGCTGAGCCTGGAAACTAACACAGCCATCAAGGGAATGACTTGGGCGGCCTTGGGAAATCAATGAGAAATTGCAGTTCAGGGAAGGTGCTCATTGCCTAGAGGTGCTCTTTCATTGAACAGAGCTTCCTTAGGTTGATGCTGGAGGCAGAATCCCGGCTCTCAAGGGGTATTCGGTTAAGGGGAGCAGCAGAGGACATGAAAAATTGCGATGACTAGAGCAGGGACGATTTGCTGCCAAATACCCATGCACAGCTGTATGGCTGGGGGCTCCTCGCATGCATGGGACCCCCAGAATGAATATGCTCAGCTACCCTGTGGGCCGAGCAATCCAGGCAGCAGGCATAAGGCACCGGTTACCCTGCACGTTGGCCCAGACCTCAGGTGCTAGGGAAGGCGGGGACCTTGGCTTGAGTAATGCTCATCTGTGTGTTTTAAAGATAGTTTCATCACCCGTTGTCTGTGTGTGCTGAGGAGAGTGGAACAGAAGGGGTGGAGTTTTGAATAAATAAAGTTTCTTTGTCTCTTTATTTTGTATGGATGAACCAGACATACTGCCAGACACTGCTGTGGGTGTCGTGTCTCTAATAACTCCTGGAATTCACCCATGCAGAGGAACCAGGATGCAGGGGGTTAAAAAACTTGCCATCTGTGTTTGGGTTCCCCAGACAAGGATTCAAATAGTTGATTTAGGAAGTAATCCCAGGAAACCCTGCAAAGGTAGTGGGAAACTGAGGCAGGGAAGGGCACGAACCAAGAAAGTGTTACCTGAAAGGAGTCCAGATGCAGACCCCAAAAGAGGGTTCTTGGGTCTCACACAAGAAAGATTTCAGGGTGAGTCCATGGAGTCAGTGAAAGCAAGTTTATGAGGAAAGTAAAGGAATAAAAGAATGGCTACTCCATAGACAGAGCAGCCCCAAGGGTTACTGGCTGCCTATTTTTATGGTTATCTCTTAATTATATTCCAAACAAGGGGTGGATTATTCATGCCTCCCCTTTTTAGACCATGTAAGGTAAATTCCTGATGTTGCCATGGCATTTGTAAACTGTCATGGCGCTGGTGGGAGTGTAGCAGTGAGGATGACCAGAGGTCACGCTTGTTGCCATCTTGGTTTTGGTGGGTTAGAGCTGACTTCTTTACTGCAACCTGTTTTATCAGCAAGGTCTTTATGATCTGTATCTGTGATGACCTCCTATCTCATTCTATGACTAAGAATGCCTTAACCTCCCAGGAATGCAGCCTAGTAGGTCTCAGCCTCATTTTACCCAGCCCCTATTCAAGATGGAGTTGCTCCGGTTTAAATAAACCTCTGACAAAAGGGTGAGTTATCCAACAGATTACCAGCATGGGCAACTGACACCTGCCGGGGATCTCTGGAAGACCATGCACGGCACATGCCCAGTTATGCCTGCAAAGGGGTGGGAGCTGGGGTATTTGTCCACCAGCTCCCATCTGTGTTTGGCTGAGAGCTGCTTCTAGGAGTGTTAATTCTCCAGCACTTTCAGCTACTCTAGAAAAAAAAAAAAAAAAAATTATTGAACTGAGAGTTGGAGGTGTTGAGAGATTGTGGCACAGCAAGGAGACGTGGACAGGACACCGACAGTGGCTGATACACTTTGCCAAGGTCACACAGCTAGTTAGCAACAGACTTATAGGGGAATCCAGACAGTGTCTCCATCACCCAGGCTCTCTCTAGTGATCTGCACTTCACATACCAGGCAGGCAGAGTGATGGTGTGGGCCTTAGATGGGCAGACTGGGAACCTGAAGCTCCTATGTCTGTATCACTTTGTGTCTCTGAGTAGGTGCCCTGATTTCACACTTGAGAGGCTTGGCCATTTTAGATTCCTTCCTGCTCTAGGAGCCTACATAATACACTGGAAATGATGGGGAGCTCTCTATCTCACATGCAGCCTGATATTTGTTAGAAACACCCTGCACCAAGTATGATGGCTCACGACTGTAATCCCAGCACTTTGGGAGACTGAGGCGGGTGGATCACTTGAGGTCAGGAGTTCAAGACCAGCCTGGCCAACATGGTGAAACCTCATCTCTACCAAAAAATAAAAAAATTAGCCAGGTGTGGCAGGGCACCTGTAATCTCAGCTACTTAGGAGGCTGAGTTGGTAGAATTGCTTCAACCCGGGACACGGAGGTTGCAGTGAGCTGAGATCGTGCCATTGCACTCCAGCTTGGATGACAGAGGGAGACCCTGTCTCAGAAAAAAAACAAAAACAAAAACAAAACACCTCCTTGTTCTAAGCCCAAATCTATCCCTTTAGCTGCCCAAATCACACAGTTTACAGACGGAGAAACCGTTTTAGAGAGGAAAAGGGATTTGCCCAAAGTCACCCAGAGAATAGCAGAGCCTGAATTAGCCTTCTAGACTTCTTGCCTCTGAAAGCTCTTTATAATAAAATATAATAATTTAAAATAAAAATAGGTATCTATTTAGGGCCAAGCAATATGCTAAGCACCGTCCAGCCACTGTCATTTACATCTCCAAACAGCTCTAGTTGGCAGGCTCAATGATTATCCCAATTTTACAGATAAGGAAACAAGTCCAGAGAGGTTGAGGATTAGCTTAGGAAATCCTGGAGCCAGGATTTGAACCCAGGTCTGACCTAAGAGCTCCCGGCCGCCATGATATGTCAGCTCATGTCATCCTGACACCTACTCAGATGTCGGCTCAAATCCACTTTGCCTGAGCATTGTCTCAGAAACATCTAATTTAAAAATTAGGCAGAAAATAGAAAATAGGCCGGGCGCGGTGGCTCACGCCTGTAATCCCAGCACTTTGGGAGGCTGAGGCGGGCAGATCACGAGGTCAGGAGATCGGGACCATCCTGGCTAACTAACACGGTGAAACCTCGTCTCTACTAAAAATACAAAAAATTAGCCGGGCGTGGTGGTGGACGCCTGTAGTCCCAGCTACTTGGGAGGCTGAGGCAGGAGAATGGCGTAAACCCGGGAGGCGGAGCTTGCAGGGAGCCGAGATCGCGCCACTGCACTAGAGCCTGGGCGACAGAGTGAGACTCCGTCTCAAAAAAAAAAAAAAGAAAAAGAAAAAGAAAAAGAAAATAGAAAATATATTTGAGTGCTAGAGATGCAATTGGACTGGGAGCCCAACACAGAATAGAGGCCGGACTCATGGTTCCCTCCCCAGGATCTTACGCAAAAGAAATCCAAGTTGTTGGCCTTAGCTCCTATTACTGAACTGGCTGGGCTTTGGGAAGCCACAGAGGGGCGGGAAGACCTGGTGGATCAGGTGGGCCCAACTCAGGCCAGCCCCCGCCCTGCAGGAAGTAGGCAGGGTCCAGGGTCGTGGGCCCAAACTGCAGGAGTTTCCCCGGCAGCCCCCGGGGCTGGATCAGAGGGCAGGAGGGGCCCCCTGGGTAGCAGCACCAGAGTGGGCTGAGTGGCCTGGGCCCTTGAGGGGGGCGCTTCCAGAGATGTTGATTTTGGGATACTCCCTCAGCCCTGCCTTTACACAGAATTTGTGGGGAGGAGGAAGGAGTAGGGAGGAAGGCAGTGAGTGCGTCTGCATTAATTTTTTTTTTTTTATTTTACAAAAAGCGGCTTATTGCATTTTTCTGATTACTCTATCAGCACGTGCAGACCTTTTCCTATTCAGAGAAAGCCTGAAGGTACAAAGAGGAAAGTGAAGAAAAACCACCGGAAATCCCATCCCCGCCCCAGCATCTGGCACTGTGTGGGCGATCACAAAATGAGTACTTGTTTTTGAAGGCGTAGTATCTCCATGAACATCCGGTTGAACAACCTTTCTGACTTTATTTTTCCCACGAAAGTTATTAATTATAAAACAAAAAGCAAAACACCAAAAAAACAAAAAACAAAAAACCCAGCAAGTGTTTGAGCTCCCACCACGAAGGAGGTCTGACGTCACTGGATCCTCCGAGGCAGCCGATGAGGCTGCGTGGGACTTGCCCAGGATGTGATGTGCCGTTACCCTGTGACATAGCCGGGCTTCGAACCAGAGTCCTAACTAACCGCCCTGTATATAGCATGGGCTCATCGTTTTCCCTGGTTCCACTCAGAACAGAGACTCAGAGGAACAAGGGCTCTGCGCTCACCCTGCCTGGTTAGGTCCAGCCTTTGCCGATTCCAAGCTGTGTCACCATGGGAAGTGTTTGCCCACTCTTGGCCTAAATTTCCTCCTTGGTAAAAGGCACACAAGAGCAGTATTCTGCATGCCACAGTGGTGGGGTGAGCAGCAGATGACGTGGTGAGTGGAGGCCAGATGACACCCGGCTGCTCTCAAGCTTAACTTGCCTGTGGTGATGGGAGGACCGTGTCATTTCTTCCGCCATATCCCACCTGTTTCCACCGGGACGCACAGGCCAGGGTGGAAGGGGTGCGAAGAGGAGGTCATCTCGCTGGTCCCTGCTGCCCTCTGGTGACCACATCAGCATCCGCGCCTGCTCCATCCCAGCAGCTCCAGGTCCAGGCTGTGCCCAGAAAACTTGTCCTGGGAGATCCCCACCCACCCCTCAGCCCACCTCTCTTCCATCTCTGCATTTTCCAGAAATTCCCCCAGCACCAAAGAGCCTAATGTCCGTTAGATATGCCATGTGGCGCCAGACCAGCGTGTAACCTCTCTGTGCTTGATTCATCCTCTGTAAAATGGGAATCATTATCGTATCTGCCTCATGTAGCTATTGTGAGAATTAAATATGTCAGTATCTGTGAGGCCCTTAGAACTATGCCTGCAGCTGGGAAGAACTATGCCTGCAGCTGGGCGCAGTGGCTCACGCCTGTAATCCCAGCACTGTGGGAGGCCAAGGCGGGCGGATCGCCTGAGGTAGGCATTCGAGACCAGCCGGGCCAACATGGTGAAACCCTGTCTCTATTAAAAATACAAAAATTAGCAGGGCATGGTGGTGGGTGCCTGTAATCCCAGCTACTCAGGAGGATGAGACAGGAGAATCGTTTGAACCTGGGAGGTGGAGGTTGCAGCGAGCAGAGATCGTGCCACTGCACTCCAGCCTGGGCAACAAGTGGGACTTGTTAATGCCTTAAAAGTATTTGCTAACATTCTTCTTCCTCTTCCTCTTCTTCTTCTTTTTTTTTTTGAGACAGAATCTTTCTCTGTCACCCAGGCTGGAGTACAGTGGCTCAATCCTGGCTCACTGTAGCCTTGAACACCTGGGCTCATGTGATTCTCCCACCTCAGGCTCTCAAGTAGCTGCGACCACAGGGGCACACACCATCATCAATCCTGTCTAATTAAAAAAAATTTTTTTTTGTAGAAACAGGGAATCACTATGTTGCCTAGGCTAGTCTCAAACCCCTAGGGTTCAAGTGATCCATCCACCTCAGCCTCCCAAAGTGCTAGGATTACAGATAAGGGCCACTGTGCCTGGTCTGCTAATATTATCCTTAATATTACACTGAATAGGTCTGTGGATTTTGTGGGAGGTGAGGGTATAAAACATAATTAGAGGAAATAATGACATTCTAAATTTAATTTGACTTTATTACAAAAAGGGCAGCATGGAGCAACTGTAAT